AAATGGGATGTCGGATGTTCGAGGGAAACATCGTTAAGGAGCCGGACATGAAATCTGCATTAAAAAGTAACGCGAGCGCGTTACCGGGGGAAAAAAGCGGCATGAAGGCTAACCCAGGAACGGTTTCGCGGCCGGGTCAGCGGCCATGTTTCCTGAAAAATTGTTGGAGTTTACCAGTTGCGCTACTTCGTACTTCACGCAGCAACGACGATAACGGATCAGCTGACCGATTCTATTTAATTGCCAGTGATTTAATCGTTTCATTTGTAACCACGCTTTAAGGAACCTTTCCGATTCGATCTCGATCGGCTGGACGGATCCTAAGCGATATCCGCTCGGCGCTGGTGATCGCGATCTCCTCGGCCGAAACTTCGAGCGGCACGCGAAAATTGGGGGAACGAAAAAAGAGAGAAAAATTATGTGGAACACTGGAAGTACCCGTGTCAAGCGCTGCGTATACGATTCGCGGAGTAGGTCATTGTATCGGCAGTATGCAGGCATATAAGGAAGCACGTGCAGAGCCTACATGCTTGCTCGCGTATGCCTCGGTCACCTAACCAGAACCGATCACGGTAAATAGTCGACGTGGTGGCCGGCGAGAAAAAAGAAACATGTGCCTAAACGCTGGTAACATAGCGAGATCCCGGAGATATCTTGAAATTAGTCTTTGGGGATAGCTTTGCTGAATTCAACCATGGTGTCTGGAATATTCCAGAGTTTTATCGTATGAAACAATGAAGTTACAAAAGGTATTGGATGCAGAAAGTTTTCTTGCGTCGTTTTCGGATTATAGAAAAGTTCTTTTGCTAAGATGTTTGAAATTATCGAAAAAGATACGTGAAAGTTGTCGAGTATATCCAGTGCAACATATTTGAAGAATATAAGAATCTTGGAATTCTCTCAAATCCTAGTACTTTCGAGCCTCGAAATACCTTCGAAAGCCAACTGAGTAGATTCAATGCCTCGCACACCTTTACTAAACACATTCACGAAACGTGGAGGATTGACGATAATGAATCCCACGGTCTACGCTAATCAGCGATCGACGAAAGTTGAACAACCGATCCCCGCCGCTGGCCAGGCACGGAATTCGGGGCAAGCGTCCCCGATTCCTGTGTGAAACCACGCTTGACCGGCCGAATACCGGACTCGTCCAGTCAACTCGTTTCGTTTTCAACTCGTCCGACGTCGGACCGTTGTATGCAGGCTTGCTACTAATTGCCACTTTGCTCGGGATAACGAAGCCTTGTCTCCGCGGCGAACACCGCTATTCTTCGGAACGACATCGAATGCACGCGTCGGTCGAAGTTAATTAACACGCGTCGCGGCGCAAAATCAACACTGCGCGCTGATGAGCAGTCGTTGGGACACGGATGAACTGATCGCGGATGATCGAGTCCACATAGGCCGGGGAATATTATCAGAGTTAATCAAAGTATGCCGCTTCTCTCGTGTAGAGTATTGTTGAAACATTCTACCGCGATAGATGAATCAATTTTCGAAAGGCCGGGGAACAGTTCGAAAGTAGTACGCGTGGTACCCTGCTGCGAGGATCGAGGTTAAACCCGAATCGTGAATCAAACGTTATTCTCTATCCGCCTCTAGCCCTTTATACCTGAGAATTTTTATCCAACCTCTTTTCATGAATACCTCGCATCGATTATCCTGCTTCGTAAGAGACAAACAAGGTAAACCGATTTATTCTGCCCTGTAGGAAAAAGATTTTTCGGCGGCTACAGGATACTGCCGAAAGTCTGCCAGCCCACGTTACCGTCGCGCATCAAATCGAGCGACCCGGCGATATGCATGTTCAATTACGAGTGCTCGCAACGGAACGGGCAAGTGGTGGGCGCCTGCATGGACGGGTTCCTGTTCGGAGCGTGCTGTCAGTTGCCGTCGAAGAACTCGGCTCTGGGTAATACCCACGAGAAGATCCCAGGCGGCGATGAAATATTCAGCGTGCACGAAATCGATCACGTGCCAGATATTCCTATCCTGTTAAATTCGGACGGCACTCCGCTCGGGATGACGGTGTACCAGGACAACACTGTGAAGACCGAGACGCCTGGCAACTATCTCAGCCACGACGGCACCTCCTACACGAAGATCTCCACGTACAATGCACCGTCAACCACCGCGAGACCCTCCAGCTCGCACATCATGGACACCATTCAGAACGCGGAGAAGCCGCAGATACCTGTCCAACCGGACATCAGCCACCTGGAGGAGGACTTCTCGATTCTACTAGGTCAGCACAACATTTTGGACGAACTGTCGTTGCCCGGGTTGCTCAGTCATACCGACTCGAACAACGACATCCAGCATCACCAGGCCGGCGGCGCGGTTAATCCAGTCACTACCCTGCTCAGCCCTGATCAGATTCTGCAGATCGCCGATCCGGTTGACCAGCTGCCCGCGTTGTTCTCGCAAGGACTGGGTCAGAGCAATCACAGTTCCGCTGACACGATACTTTTGAACGAGAACGGCACCACTTTGAACGAGACTTATAATCCCGACGACTTGTTCAAGCCGAGCACCGAGTCCAGCACCGAGAGGAGGAGGGTGACCGAGACTACCCAGAGGCCGAAGGTGACCGAGGGCTTCACGGTTGCGACTACCAAAAAGAAGCCTTCGTACGGCGGTACGTATCAGGGCAATCCTGCGACTGAGTGGGTCAAGTTCCCTGATCAATACGGATCCTCCAGCTACGACCACAAGTTCGCCACGTCTTCCATGACGAAAGCACCGGCGATCACGCAGATGTACAGCAATACGCAGAGATTCACCACCACTCCTCCCTCGATGGAGACCGATGTCTTCGAGAAGGCTAGCACGATAGAGGAAAGAGTGTCCACGAAGAATGTTCAGGCGACTGGTTTCGGGAGCGAGAAGACTACCACGCCGATGACTACTCTGAGCGACTCGAAAGATGACCTGGTTAAAGTGCCGACGATAACTTACAACACTCCGTCGGGAATCAAGAAGGACGACTTGGCGGATAAAGAGGAAATAGCGATCAATCACATAATTTCCATTTTAAACAACACGAAGCCCGGCTCGGGCACCACGATTCAAACCCCGAATTCGTCTATCAACAAGTGGGTCAGCATAGACGAAACCTCGAAGCCGTCCTTGGTCAGAATCTCCACGACGAAGACCTCGACTCCTGCGCCGATCACTACCCAAACTTTCCCTTACATCTTTTACAAACCAGTGCACACATCGAATTATTACAACTACGAAACAGTTCCAACAGAGACGAGCTACTCCACGTATCCAACTACCAACACGCACTATTCGAGGCCGTCTACCCAGTCCAGCAGCTTCAGCTACACTTCCAAGACGACGACCAACCCCCCAGCTCCTACAGTGATAGTCCTAGGACCATTCGAAACGGAAATCTCCACAGAGACTACTCAGAAACTGGTGACGAGGAAGCCTGAGACTATCAAACCCACTACTACGATAGTCAAGCCCACGACTGGATCGCTGAAGCCTCTGACTACGAAGAAGCCTAGCGTCTCTACGACTATAACTCACAACATCAGCACAGTGATTTCAAACGTGGCTACCAACAACGTCGTCTCGACGAGTTTCTTCAGCGTGAACCTGAAAGATGGAACCACTTCCAAGCCGACAGTCAGCAACAACTACAGCACCGAGCCTGTCACCGAAAACGAATTGATCTCCGTGAAAGTGACCAAAAGGCCGACCATTTGGACGACGCTGACTCCCTGGTCAGATAAACCAAGCTTCTCCTTGAAACCGTCCACGCAATCGCTGCTTTACCCCGAGGAGAATTTAACGCCAGTCAACACTGTGTTCGTGAAAGACACCAGCGTCTCAACGACGGTGAAAATCAAACCGACAACGCCAGTTCCCCATTGCGAGGACGACACGCCTGCCCCCGACGATCTGATCAACTTCCCGCCGGTTCGAAACCCGAACTTGAACATCTCCGCGCCCACTTCGCAGCAGGAGAAACCGACTATCGTCGAAACCTTTAACAACACGGGCTATCCCGAGATCGAGATAGTCGGCGAGAACGATATACCGACTCCGACGTTCATCGAGGACGACGTGCTGACGAACAAGGTGGACACGTTCGTGAACAAGATTGTGCAGAGTCTGCAAGGCAATTTTCAAGTACGTGAAACGATCTTTTAGTCTAGATAGATTTCAGGATGGAGATTAAGGTTTCTGTTCTTCCGCAGGATCTCAAGGATATCGTCTACAATCGCGCGAACACGACGTTGGCGGCTCCGTCGACTACTACCAAGAGGCCAGCGGCTACTACCAAGAAACCAGTAAGGAGACCAGCGTCCACGGCTAAACCTTCGTTGAGTACAACAAGGAGACCAGCGACCACGAAGAGACCAACGAGCAGACCAACTCCAGCGAAACCGTCGGCGACTGAAAGGCCAGTTCGTCCCACGAAACTGACAACTTCGAGACCAAAGCCAACCACACTGTCCGGGGTTACCACGAAAAAGCCTCAGGTCACGACGAAACGCACCAGGCCGACCAGAAGACCTACCACAACCCCGGCTACCAGCACGGAAGCAGTTGTTCTGGAAGAGGAGGAAGCTAGTCCGTCCACTGCGGTCGAGACGACGACCACCTCGCAAACGCCATCTTCCACGGACCTACGCGCGCGTAAGTACCGCAGAATCTGTGTGAAAAGATTCTGTGATTAAGATACTCCGTGATTCCAAAAGGTAGCTCCGTTATGAAGTATCTGACCCCTTGCCTTGTGAATTAATTTCATAGGTGCATTCGTTAGGACTATTTATCGTTAATGATGTACTAGTAAAAGATTCTATGTTCTTTCTAGATTTAGTATGAACCATACAAATTGTTAACAAGGACAATAATGTTTCATTTGAACTTAACTCAATGATATTTATGTTTGTTAAACTATATTAGAAATTTTCGCCTCTGACACGATATTGCAAGGCAAAGGGTTAATATATATTCCACGTCTAATTTCTGATTGATTATCGTCAATATTTGTTCTGCAGAATGTGGAATAAGGCCTCTAGCTAGAGAAGGGAAAATCGTCGGAGGCAAAAGCGCGTATTTCGGAAAATGGCCGTGGCAAGTTCTGATCCGAGAAGCTACCTGGCTGGGCCTCTTCACGAAGAACAAGTGCGGAGGCGTTCTGATCACGGATAAATACGTCGTGACCGCTGCTCACTGTCAACCAGGGTATAAATTAGATTTCAATATACTCGGAGTGTTTCTCTATAGTATTTTGAAGGGTGAAAATCAATTGTCGCTGAATTCTCTGCAGATTCCTAGCGACTCTAGTGGCCGTTTTCGGAGAGTACGATCTCTCCGGCGAGCTGGAAGACAAACGCAGCATGACAAGGAACGTTCGACGCGTGATCGTGAACAGGGGCTACGATCCGGCGACTTTCGAGAATGATCTGGCTCTTCTGGAGTTGGAATCGCCGATCGTGTTCGACGATCATATCGTGCCGATCTGTATGCCGGAAGACGGCATCGATTATACGGGCAGAATGGCCACTGTTACTGGCTGGGGACGATTGAAGTACAGTGAGTAGATCTCTTATTCCACGCTGGTAATAGCTATACAGAAGGGATTACTTAAAAGATCGGTGATTTTATGAAACGATATTAATTTACAGACGGCGGCGTACCATCGACTCTCCAAGAGGTCCAGGTGCCCATAATAAAGAATTCCGTTTGCCAGGAGATGTTCCAGACAGCCGGCCATTCCAAGCTGATCCTCGATAGCTTCCTCTGCGCAGGATACGCCACTGGGCAGAAGGACTCCTGCGAGGTATTTATAGAGTAATTAAATTTCCCGCCGGGAACCCCATTAGCTTATTACTTGGCCGCGGATTTTATGCGTTTATAGCGTGCGCGATGATCAAAATTCAGTGAATTCCGCGTTTACACCATGCTCGTGAAACGGTCACGTTCGCGTATCACGAACAACGAGGATTAAGATAGCCTCGCGAGTGAACGTTTCATCCGTTTTACACGCGACAGAGGATCTCGGGTGAACTCCTGATTAATTCCATTCTCAGGAAATTAGTCCGTAGAAATCTGCATTTGCATCGCGAACCGCACTCTACTTGCTACTTCTTCGTGTTATTAAGCGGCTTCGTAATTCATTCGTTCCTCGCTCGCGCGGCAAAGGAAATCGGGATGCCGTTATCCGTTTCTTGAAATTGAACGGTGCGTCAAGCCGCCTGTCGTTCCTCAGGGTGACAGCGGCGGTCCGTTGGTGATGCAGCGACCGGACGGACGATGGTTTTTGGTGGGCACGGTGTCGCACGGGATCAAATGCGCCGCGCCTTATCTGCCCGGCGTCTACATGAGGACCACCTACTTCAAGCCCTGGCTGCAGGGTGTTACCGGGACCAGAGGATTAGGGAACTGAGGGACGTCCCCGGCGGCGGGACGGTCGCGACGGCACCGACGACTCGAGTGCCGCTTGTATAAATTGTACAAAGGAAGACTAATTTATTTCCTTCGGGATCAATCGAAGACGCGTCGATCAATGGGACTAAAATCGAACGAGCACCGGACCGTTCTGAATACTATTTCCGACTTTAAATAACCAGTGCGAAGGGAGACGGCGTGCCGAGCAACCCGAGGGAATGGTCGTTTATTTGAATTTCGAAATAGTATCGTAACCCGTCAACGGATTCGCCGCACGGAAACGAGATGCACCTCTCACGTGCGCCCGAACCATCGAACGTGTCGTGTGTTCCGTGTACATATACGTACGTGGGTACCTGCGCACCAGCCGCCGAACAGGCGAGCTTCGTATGTGGATCAAAGATCTCGACGGAGATTTTCATGGGCTTAATTCTATTAATCTGTTAACTGTACAAATGACGAGAGTTCACTCCTCTGCCCCAGTTAACGGGTTAACGAGCTGAGACCTGTCCAGATAAACGAGGAGTTTAAATGGTAAACGACGGAACTGTTAAATAGAAAATCAAAAATTAGCTGGCGGCTACTGTAATTGCTGGGATAATTTGTCTTGGTTGCTGGAAGTATCGCATGGTGAACGTTCGGATCTTTCGTTAGTCCCGTTCCCGTTCGTTTATCGTTCGCACTCCTCGACGAATCGATCGATCGCGCAGAGGTCGAGAATAAATCCGAACGGATTGTCGGCCGGTTTGGTACTCAGCCGTACTATATGTATGCAATCACGTGTTGCGAGCCTTATTTATTTCGTTGTTAGCTGTTATTTATTAAACTCATTTTTATACAAGATAACGGTCTATTTTTACTCCTACCCCACTGTCGCGCGGCGATCACGCAGGCGAACCGTCGCTCGCTTGGAATATTAGATTAACGAAATCTCCGCGATTCACGCGAACAAGGGATGAAACGAGCGATCCGTGGCACGATAAAGATCATGTGACGACCTTACATACCTTTACGGTAATTACATTCGTGCCGACGTTCGATAGAAAATCAAGTTACTTCCACGTTTACTCTTCAAAGTAACGTTTCCCTGCGCTCGGCGCATTCTTCCTCTCGTTTACTTATCACAATTCCATTTTCTCCGAGACGTCCCCTTTGAGTTTAATCATAAAAGCTCGTCGTTATTCTCTTTGCTGGATATACATCCTACTTACTTTTCTGCATCGTCTCGTCTCATTTTCCTCGATCCCTTTGCTACATTTTCTCAGTTATGTCTGATCGTTTTCGCAGCTCATCCCGTTATTATAGTTATTAATTAGAGAGCGGCGCGTGTGAATGCCACCGAGTTCAAGCGATCGAGTTTCTCGGAAAGGCGAGAACCTGTCGCGTTCAGTTAATCCCAGGTATCGCAGCCATCCGGCGCGATGCACGCGCGCGTTTACGCGGGAAACTGACAAAAAGAACGGGTCGCGGCCGATTCGGCGCACCTGGACCGGTTGCGTGACACCGTGACACAGTCGAAGGGTATTATTCACCGGCACGCAACGAATTTTCCTTTATTTTCCCCTTTCCCAATTCGTCGGACCCTCCGTCGATCGCCGACCGTTTCGAGGTTTTCATTTCGATTCCAGCCCATTGAGGAACGCCGGCTGAATATAAATAGCCGTTTACAGGAGTAACGCGAGGCACTTTGGCATTTTCACGGACAGGTGGTCGTGTGCACACGCGTTCTGGATGCGTGTTGAACGTGCACCGTGATTTTATCTAGGTAAACACGATCAGCCTATTTGTAATCTTCCCGGAGAGATCTTCTCGAGGAATATCGAGTCTCGCGATCGGAAATGGATAAAAAACGGTTAAATCGTCGGATAGGCGAGGGTTGAACCGAGAGAGAGTCGTTCTATGTAAATTAATAGCGACACGTGTGGGTTATGTCCTTGCGCATCACGCGGACGGTTCGTTCGTCATTAAAAATTGCTAGAATTTAATGAATTATAGCGGCAGATCGATTTGTATCGTTCCCTCCCTCTTTTCTCCTCGCCTGTCCCGGCCGTCTGTTAAGAAACACCCTGTACACGGAGCAGGATCGACCGGCCAGTAGAACATCAGGACACCCCGGATCAATACGACCAAGAGAGACCGAAACAATGGCGGTGCGACAGGAACAACGAGGACGGAGCTGAACACCTACACGATCTTGCGCCCGTCGAACGGCGCTGCCGTGTCCTGGGAACAGGATGCGTTCTCCATGCCACCTCTTTTTAAACGACCGTAACCGGAAGACGTTCCGACGTACAGCTGGAATCTCTCTCGCCGGAACGAGGTGGAAAAGATCTGGGTTAAATCCTCAACGACGCAATTCTAGGACCTCTTCCAACGAACAAGCCGTCGAACAAAATGAACGAGAACCATTCGAGAATTCGTATGTAGCTTTTAACTGCGACGCAGATATATTCGCGGGATGTAAAGGAAATAAACGAGATTATTGTCCCGTCAATTAAACGGTGATAAGGGTTCGCCTGATCTGAAAGTGACAGGGGCGAAGCGTGAATGATCCGCTCGACAATGGACGCAGGGAAATTGCGTGTGCTACTTATCGGCTTTCATCGACAAAGGAGAAAAGGTTATCACGCGTCACGAATAAAACGTGCAATCGAAGGAATCTGAATGGAGAAAATGTCACCCAGGTCACATGTGTGTGCGTCGGGGAGAAAAAAAGTCAGGCGTCGCGCAAGCGCGGGCCGCTTTCCGCGAGCTTCTGCTAGGGAAACCGGAACGACGTAGAAGTATAGATTGCCAATGCTACCGCGGCCCGACTCAGTCCTCCAGCGAACTCCACCGAGGACTTGTTGATCCCTGGAACTGGCGAGGAACGCAGCTGGTCCTTACTGATCGTCCTAGAGGGAAAAACCGGCTGAGTTGCAGTAGGGTTTAGACGCGGAACGTTGTGAGTAGAATGATTATCATCGAATCACTGCCCCCGACTATTTCTATTCGGGATTACGCTCAACCTTGACTCGCTTTGAAGAAATAACCTGGTTCATGGTTCAGTCTTGAATCTTCTTCAAGGATCGAGTACTAATCTGTGTCATTTCAAATTTTGATATGTATCAATCTATATTTAATATATTTAAAAAAAAATACTGTGTTGATGAAGATCAGAGTTAGCAAAGGGTATTTAGAGATGACTTGAGAATCTATGGGATTTATAGCATCTTACAAAATTAATTGCAATTGGAAGCAGATTCGGTTCTCTTGAAACCTCTCCCTCGAAACCCTCTCGAGTTCAAGGGTTGTTCGAAATTTTCGATCGAAGACAATTTACAGATTTCTCTGTTTGTCTCGCAGAGGTCTTCGGTGTCAGTCCGTCACGAATATGCACACGTGCGTTGCATTAGCCTTCGTCGCACTAGCGTGCACGACGTACTTTGGAGTGGATGCATGGGGCGGTCTCTTCAACCGTTTCAGCCCGGAAATGGTGTCGAGCCTCGGCTACGGCAGCTATGGAGGCTCCAGCGATTACAAGTCGGGAGTGTACCAGGTAAGAAAGAGATCTTTGAGAACGATGACACAGCACCGCGTTCCTTATCGCAATGTTGCACTTTACCGCAGTACGGCCGGCGCTCGATCGATATATTATTTTCGCGTAACAGCTGCATGAAAACCGCCTCCCCGTCACGAACGATTCTCGCGGGAGAAGCTTTTGTTCGGATAGTTTCGATGTCAGCTGTGATCAAGATGAACATCGTTCGAGAATCGCTCGCGCTCTGACGTAACTGCTAGAAACGTTAATTATTTCTCATATTTTATCTCACTTCTCATTCGTGTAATCTTTAATACCATCGATTGGCAGATACAATCAAATTTCAGATAAATTCCCTCCCTTAAATAGACATCGAGTTTAATCCAATTTTAGCTTGCAGACCAAGCGAATGTTTGCCCGATATCAATCTTTATAAATTCACTCATAAAAATCTACATTCGATAAGCGCCTGCAATCCAATTACGTTGCTCGCGTGCATGTAAGCTATAGTGTCGCCAGCGAAGGGTTTAATTAGTCCAAAGGAGATTATCTCGTGAATCCTTGTAACTTTATCAACGCGAAACACCCTATCAAATAACTGCAGTGTTCACAAAACTTGCCAGCAACACGTACAACGGCCATTAAGCGCGAAGTTATGGCAGCCAAAGCATGACCTGCTCCACTTTCGCGCGTTCCCTTGCAAATACTGCGCTTCGCGCGTGTCTCGTTCTGGCCGTCGGGAATTCTAACGTTTCGCGTTTCGATTCAAGCGGCCGTTATCCGGTGCCTACGGGAATTCTTATGGGGAATCGTTGGAGGAACTGGCGGACGTGCCGTGCTACGAGAGAACGTGCACGGCCAATCAGCACTGTTGCCCAGGTTCCATTTGCGTTAACGTTGACGGAGGTAATCATCCAACCCCTGTTTCCCACGATTAACGCTTTACCTCTGGAAGATCATTCGATGTTACTTCAACGACAAATCCCCGATAATCGCAATCGTAATAGAATTCTATTAAAATCAAAGATTAAGGATCTCTCGATCATTGTTCAATCTATCGAGTCGCAATCTCGTACAAGAAATCTTGAGTAAAAATTCCCGTGCTTCCTTTGAGCAAAGCACAAAGATCGAGAATATCCTATTAATAGACTTGCTGTAGGTAAAGGGTTAATTGTCTTGTCGCTCCCGATTTAAACGGTGTTCATACGAGTCGACGGGGTTTCCAGTTGTCGGACACTGCATGTTCGATTTCGGGCAGAAGCAGGGCGAGCTCTGCAGGAGGGACAACGACTGCGAAACTGGTTTGATGTGCGCCGAGGTGCCCGGCAGCGAATCCCGCTCGTGTCAACCACCGGTGACATCGAATAAACTCTACAGTGAGTATCCGCCCACGCTCGGTTCGACACCGTCCGCCACCTGAAGGGTACAACCGCGGTAGAAGGTCAACTCACAAACGATTACGTCAAAGGGATAATTATAAGCTCTTACGTAAAAGAGGATTATATATATAACTTTCGAGCGTGCTAATCGGCCACTGTGAATGATTCCAGACGAGGAGTGCAACATGTCCAGCGAGTGCGACATCGGCCGCGGTCTATGCTGTCAGCTGCAAAGACGTCACCGACAGACACCCAGAAAAGTACTGACGTCCATCTCGATCCCTCCCTGTCTGTCAATCCTATCGCTGCCTGTCCGCTCGTAAACGCGCGGATGTAATTAACAGTAAAGCAAATCTGACGCGGTTGCCGCGCCGGTAATAAACGTTACGATAAACGTTACGATAAACGTTGCGTTTCTGCTCGATTAACAGGTTAAGGTAATTGCATAGAACGCGCGGACAATCATCTTCCGATCGATCATCGGTTAATTCGAACGGACAGCGAATGGATTGATCGTGGTTTAGTGGAATTTATTAGAAGGTTGTCTTGTTCTCCCCAGGTTTGCTCCTACTTCAAGGACCCCCTGGTGTGCATCGGGCCCGTCGCGACGGACCAGATCAAATCCGTCGTTCAGTACACCTCCGGTGAGAAACGGATCACCGGGCAAGGGAACCGATACTTCAAGAGCGTCCCCTTCGCCTAAGACGCTCGCCGGTCGTTCCTTTTCAGCCGGCGTGAACGGAGGGAGCGTCGCATGAAATCAAACCCATCGCGTCTAATTGTCGCAGATATAATTTAGTATAATTTTTCCTATGATTCAAGAAGCCTGTCGACTCGGAAATCCTCTCGATTCGTTCGATGCTTCCCGACCCTGCCCCACCGGGATCATCCGCTCGGCTGGGGGAGGATCGGCGACGCAAAACACGCCTTCCGATCGGTTTTCTCCTAACATTGCGACTGAGAAGTATGATACATATCAGAGTAGCCTGTCTCTTAGTATCGTAAGAAGAAATACATATCACTGAGAAGATTCGCGGGGCGCGTTTCCAATAGTTAGGCTCGATCTTCGACGAGCTCCGTGTACAGGACGGTTCCAACCGTTCGTCCCTGTCGTCGGACATTCCTATCCGATCTTTCGTTTAATTGATCTAGTGGGCTAGATGTTCTCGGAGCAATTGAAACTGAAGTCACACCATCGGGAAACGGTCCTGTTTGCTTTGCCCTGTACGCGGGAGAAACTGACAGATCCTCGAATCGAGTTTCCTGAATTTACTCGTAAGGTGTCTCCTCGAATTACTCAAACGCACAGACAGAGTAAAAGAATATATATGGATATATATATATATATATATTTTCACTCGGCTGATTCTCGGTTAATGAAGAGGTCGGACAGATATCAGTGGTCAGATAGGAGGAATATTTTTCACGGGGAAGCGACGGATATTGGCGAACCATGGCGTGACCGTGGAACCACGAAATCGATGTCCAATTGATTGAACGTATTCTGTTTAAAAGAAAAAAGGGGGAAAACACTATGGGAACTTGACGGAACGAAGAAACGCTTCGTCGGTGTCTGCAGGAATGTTAATTCGCGTGACGGTTAACGTGATAATTACGCGAATTAAGTCGCACCGTGGATTTTCAGGACAAGCTGATCCGCTCGACGCGTGTCCGGGAGAAAATCTGGAAAACATACATATCAAAGAAGTTTTTGCTTCGCGTAGCGTATATTCCGAAATTCTCTAGATATACACGTAATACACGTATGTATACGTAGAGATCTGGTATTCTAGATTTTCCGTTTCAATGTGAAAGTCGCTCGATTTAAACGTTTATCGCGGAAATCGCTCTACACGTCAAGAAAATCGCGGGAATCGCTCCTTTGAATATTGAAATCTCGGAGGTCGCTTTGTTAAGTGTTAATTAAATACTTAGCGTTTAATGTAACGTAATTATCAGATACATACTTGTATATATATATACATATCTATATGTGTATATATATATACTTGTGGGAATCGCTACATTAACTAATGTCTGTCTGTAATTACTAACCGAAAAGTTCGATCATTCTGGGAATCGCAGGTGTTAATCGTAACTGTGGCTTTAAATGAATCCACTCGCGTCGTTGAGTCGACGACGGACAGAGCAAATGTTACAATTGTAATTATTATCAGAAGCCGCGGTGTTATCTTTTGGTTGTTTTATGAAAATGTGAAACATCATCGCGGACACTCTTTCTGATGCGTCAAGTACCTGCTGCGAAATCTGGACAAACCCTCGTTTCTACGCCACTGATGCTAGTCATCGAGAGTCCAAGCACACGAATAAAAACCAAACCAACAAGAAAAAAAAAATGGAATCGTATTTCTAGTTACAAGGAAGAAAAGGATAATTATTATACTTCCAACGTTGATCGTTATCGTGTAAGGGAACTTTAACATATCATGAATGCCTAAATCCATTAAGGAGAGTTTTAATCTTGTGAATGTTATTACGCGAGATAATATGTATATCGTATTGAAATTATATTTTTATCTTCGATCGATATGTATACTTACATTATATATTTACATAATATTCATATATTTTCCGGAAACGTGTATATAAATATAAAGTAATTATAACTGTAACCCTCTGATGCGTCGCGCGTCACGTTGCTTGCAACTATAACCATTGTTTTCGTATTGGAAATTCTATTGAACGATTCAGCGAGTACCGATCCGATAATTTTTAAGTCAGAGATGGAATGATTATTTCGTTTGTGTAATCGTTGAATTGTTACCGTTTATAAATAGGAAAGGACTAACGTCTGATTACTAGACGACGCCGATGCACATCGTCGACTTGTTGATTGTCTGATTGAATAGTTTATGATAGAGTTCTGTAATATATTGTTTACGCGTGCGACTCATTAGGGGGCTATGGCCGCTTGGGCCCTGAGTCAAAGTACCTCTATCGAAAGAATTAATTCCATAATTATATGTGTATAACTATATGTACTGTTCGAAATTATAATGCAAAGTTATACTAGTTTAATGTGAAATACAATGTGGTGCATACAAAGATATTAAACCTGTTGCAATCATTTTCCTCAACCCAATTCTTCGTCCATTTGCCTTCGTGTAGTACGAGACACGATAAACATCTTTGTAAAGTAGACACGAAGTATGCGACAATAAGATTAATGGCAATTTAAAAAAAAATAGCCATCTTCCGAATAAATCGCTGATTTCATGCACCGATTATACACGCGATTTCTAAAGTTTTTCTTTCAACAATTCGCGAGCGTAAGAACTGAAACAAAATGGCCGGTTAATTGACCCGTATCCCATCTCAAAAATCAAACTTGTCGAACGACTTTTCGTGTAAAATGGACACATATTTTACTGAATGTTTGCCGTAGAAAAATCATGAAAAAGACTGGTCTCCGAGCCTCTGGATTTCCTTTTTAAATCTCCCTCCACAGTGATCAATACTGGTTGCCTGCCACATGGAACGTTCTAGAATAGATGGCAGGTCAGATTCGAGAACATCCGTTGCAGGCAGCAAAATGGTCGTGTAGCGTGACGACGGCCGAACGTAATTCTGTGTAAAGAGACGCACCCTAACTTCGAGAATTTTGTTAATAGTAAAGTGTCCGCGTTCATTTTGCTAGCAAAATGACCGCAATTCCGGGCACTGTGGCATTTGACGAGTATGGCCGGCCATTTCTCATTCTTCGTGATCAACACAAACAGAAACGACTAACCGGCAGCGATGCAATTAAGGTAAATTAATTTATTTAATTAATGTTCTTTCATCCTTCTTTCTAAAAAACACTGATTATATTTTAAACATCATTTTAAGCATGACTCTGTTAGGCCTAAAAGTCTGGATCTTTCTTAATCTATCCGAGGACCGACCACGTGAAGCATTAAGCAATGGCGACGTTTTGGACTTACAACTTATTTTAAAAACGTTACTCAAAAAATATAATTGTTGAAATACTAACAGTTAATATTCTTAAAATTATTTTCGGGCATTCTTTCCTCGTTCTTATTCTTTTTGAATGGATAAAAGAATATAATATAGTAAATATTAATGATTTCATTGATGTACATTTTGTTTACCATAAAAGGAGATCCATGACTTTATAGGAGACTCTAATGGAATTATGAAAATGTATCAGTTTTATATATGTTTAGGCCAAGATTAATTAAATAAACCAAAATAACTTATTAAAGCCTATTATATATTAATAAGTGACTTTTAATTTTTAGTCACACATCATGGCTGCCCGTAATGTGGCCAATATTCTTAAGACTTCTTTGGGTCCTAAAGGTTTGGACAAATTAATGGTCAGTTCTGATGGAGATGTTACTGTTACAAATGATGGAGCAACAATTCTTAAGAACATGGATGTAGATCATGAAATTGCCAAGTTGATGGTTCAGTTGTCTCAATCTCAAGATGATGAAATTGGCGATGGTACAACTGGAGTAGTCGTATTAGCCGGTGCTCTCTTAGAACAGGCTGAACAATTGTTGGATAAAGGAATTCATCCAATTAGAATAGCTGATGGTTTTGAAATGGCAGCAAACTGTGCTGCTGAACACCTTAAAACTATTGTGGATTACTTTGAAGGAAGCAGTGAAAACCGGGAAGCATACATCAACATTGCTATGACCAGTCTTGGTTCAAAAATGTAATGAAAAGTTCTATAATTGTAGTATTTGTTGTAAATACAACTTATCATATTTTTTTCATTTTTCCAGCATTAACAAGTGCCACAGACAAATGGCAGAAATAGCTGTGAATGCAGTCTTTGCAGTATTAGATCCTGAGGCACGCGATGTAAATTTTGAACTCATTAAAGTTGAAGGAAAGGTCGGTGGTAGATTGGAAGATACTATCTTAGTTCATGGTGTTGTTGTTGATAAGGACTTCAGTCATCCTCAAATGCCAAAGGTAAATGGCTATGATTTTTATATAGATTATTATGAAAAATTGTATTGCTTTTCTTAATGATGAAAAAATGCGACAGAGAAGGGTAAAGGTGTAGAAAATTTGTTCAGTTTACTTTTTCCTTGAGTTTAACACTGTTCCCCTAGTCTTCTGAAAACTATTGGAAAAGTGAAAACTCTATTAAAGTAACTATTCAATGATCTGGCCTTTGCAGTGGCTTCAATGATCATAAGATTATGAGAGCTGAAAGAAAAGTGATTATTTTTGTTACATAAATGATTTAAACTATAAAATGCATGACAGAAGAATATGCGTTATGTTACAGAAACTAGAAGACGTCAAGTTGGCCATTCTGACATGTCCATTCGAACCACCAAAACCAAAAACAAAACATAAGTTAGACGTTACCTCAGTTGATGATTATAGGGCGCTGCGTGAGTATGAACGGGAAAAGTTCACGGAAATGGTAAAGAAGGTGAAGGATGCAGGTGCAACACTTGCTATTTGCCAATGGGGATTTGATGATGAAGCCAACCACCTTCTTCTGCAAAATGAATTACCTGCTGTTAGATGGGTTGGTGGCCCAGAAATTGAGGTAAGTTGTTATTAGATTCAATATATATAAATCTTCTTTACCCTATGATGACAAAGCGCAATAGAAGAGAGTGAATGATTAGATAACTTGTTCATAGAATTTTAGGCATCTAAATATTATTTTCACACCAGGTTACTAGTGAGAAAATAAAAGTTGAGATCCTTTAAATCTAAAAACTAGTAATCTACCTTTCACGGTGGCTCTAATGATCATAAGATTATGAGATCTGAGGGGTTTATTTTTTGTAAATGGTTTAAAATAAACAAAAATGGTGGTGAAAATATAAAATAATATAAAATAACCTTTTCAGTTAATTGCTATTGCCACCGGTGGCCGTATCGTTCCGCGTTTCGAAGAATTAACACGGGAGAAACTTGGTCATGCCGGCGTTGTTAAGGAATTAACATTCGGAACCACCAAGGACCGAATGCTTGTCATCGAGGAGTGCAGGAACTCGCGAGCGGTCACCATTTTCATTCGTGGAGGCAACAAAATGGTGAGTCAAATTTTAAACTCTTAAAACGACCGGTAAGCAAGGAGAATTTCAGCGGTGTTAAAATATACCTTACTGACCAGACACCTTGCAAGATTAATGCATTATGATATTCATTTTACCGTTCAATGTCTCCAAATTAAATTGAACACAATCTGTTTTAATGCTACAACCATAATTCGATCGAACTTAAGGTAGCCCCTAGCGCCATCTTTCTTTTTGGTGGAAGACGTAGGAAGTACGTCACAAAGATACTCATAAGATACTAAATATTACAAAATACTATGAAAATATTATTAAAATATGATAATTTATTCTACGACGTGCATATTTTTTCTTCAAGATCATTGAGGAAGCAAAGAGAGCTATTCACGACGCTCTCTGCACTGTTCGTAACTTGATCAAGGATCAAAAGATCTTATATGGCGGCGGTGCTGCCGAAATATCTTGTGCGATTGCCTGCGCCAACCAAGCTAATAACATCAACACCGTGGAACAGTATGCCTTCCGAGCTTTCGCGGAAGCGTTGGAGGCTGTGCCACTGGCATTGGCCGAAAATTCTGGTCTTTCCCCAGTAGACACGTTGGCTGAAATAAAGGCACGTCAGGTGACCGAAAACAACCCCGCCCTCGGTATTGATTGCCTGAACCGCGGTACTGCTGGTACGTACCAACTTTCTACTAAAATTCGCGAATTTTCGCGGAATGGAAGTGCTTCAATTATTGTTTAATGTTGCAGACATGAAAGTTCAAAACGTGATCGAGACATTGACCAGCAAAACGCAGCAGATCTTGCTAGCCACCCAACTCGTCAAAATGATACTTAAGATCGACGACATTCGTTCGCCGAGCGACATCTCCGATGCGGCTTAATAAAAATATTATTGCTTTTAGAATGAAGCATTGTACGAGAAAAAAAAAATTAATTCTAATTAATTACACACTTCACTTTTGCTCTTCCGAGCTTCATTCACACTTCTAATTTGGACTTTAAATTTATTTGACTTCTTCCATCCGTTCGCTGTAACAATGATAATTTATATAATATTGTAATGCAACGCGAATAAATGATTTCACTTTTTACTAACACTCACGTCTCGATGTTCCCATATACATTCACTGATCCCCAGCATTCGTGCAGGCACACACACGCATGGGATAAATGGATACCATGTTCTCCTCAACGACCTTTTTTTTATTTTCATTGTAGGAACAAAGAAATTTGTCACATCGAGTCAAGGTATATTCGCGTAAACAGAGTCTTCTTTCTGTACACTTTTTTTCTTTTCCTGGATATGGGATTTCGTTTCGAAGGAGGGTTTCTCTTATGGAATGTACGTGTATATGCGTGTGTGTGAGAATTTCCCTTAAAGCATAAACGCAAACGCAGATCGACGAACGTAAGAAACAGAATTTTGTTAGAATCTCTACTAATAAAATGGCACAGAATACAATCGCTTGTACATATTTATAAATTATATCATAACAACAATATATACCTCTGTCTTTCTCTCTCCTGCTCGTATCTCTCGCGATCTCCTCCCTTCGGTCTGCGGGGAACCGACCACATAATTAATCTTTCTTTCGTATCACAAAATATACAATCTCTCTTTCTCCAACATAACGTTATAGATCTCTCTCTCACCTCCCCCCCTCACTCTCTGTGTTTCTCCTTTGCCATTCCCTTTTTACACATTAAGTACAGATCTCCAACGAATTGACCGGATGGTTCCGTGCAATAAAGTTCTCTGCTTGAAGTTCCAACATTCTTGGCCCGTAAACAACTGTTTCCGATAGACTTACAATATCGACGACAACAACGCGTAACCATTAAACTCTTTTAAATCTTGATAACAACGTTTCCGTATCTCACGGATACAGAATTCGGCACTTCTTGTCTCACTATATCCACGTTCACGAATAAACCGAATGATCCCCATCCGATTCCGATGTAACATTAAGCCCCGGCAGAGCGTTTCCATCGACGACCGTCCCACAAAATCACGACGAAATACCTCGAAATACCTGGCTACTACGAACAACGAAACGAAAAACATGGTCTCCTATTATTTTTCCTCTTTCTTTTGGTCACCCATCGGAACGTATTCTTTGAATCGACGTTGCATATCACCGCGGATAGGAATTATGCTTCGTAAAATACAAATTACTCGAGTAAAAAAAAATATATAAAACGTGATATCGATGACCCGCTCGATGCGTTTCCCTAATTCATCCCCTTTTTCTCTCCTTCCGTCTCCTCTTCTCTCTTATTGTTTTCTCATTTTTTTTTGGCTTCGTTAATAAATAGGCTATGCGAATTTGATTATTTGTTACTCAACTAAAAGTTACATGCGCAGCGGGGCCACTAAGTTTCTTCGCAGCTATGATTACACCTTCTTGAGCATGGGCAAATGAAGTACTTCCGGTATTTCGATGTCCTCTAATCGAATGTCCGACGGATTGAATGGGAACCTTACTGGGTACGAGTACATTAGGTCCATTAGCAACTGAAATGAAATATTTTCTCGTTATCGTTACGGTAGCAAAAGAATCTAGAAACCTATATAATCGGAAACTCGAAGTTTCCACCCACCTGTTCGTTGTTCTCGCCGCGCTCGCTCAGCTTAGCCTGAACCTTCCTGATAAACGAGACCGGGACTCGGCTCTCGAAGTCATCGGCAGGCGTGTACAGGTTCAGAATCTTGACGATCTGGTTCGCCGTCAGTTTGTTGCACATTTCGCAAACGGAGTTCACGTCCTCGTCCGACTTCCGAGCTTGCAACAGCTGGGCCGCTTGGATCAGAGGTTGAAGAGCCTCGGAGGCCTGTTCCAGTCGCCGGTCCCTTCCCCATTGCTCCAGATGGCTGAGGTTGTACCTGATCTGCATCCCCTTCGTCCACTGGCACAGTTCGTTCCTCAATAGCAAATTGTTCAAAGCGCTGGCGCACATGAAGTAGAATAACTGTTTGAAAAGTTGAACGATGATCTCGGGATCGACGCCGTGATACTGGAGGGTCTTGAACACTGAAGTGAGCTCAACCAGCAGTTTGTCCAGCTTCTGCTGCGTGGATTCTGGTTCCTCGCCCACCGATGAAGATCTTGGTCGACCAGGTTTCGGGTCCAAACCCGTTATAGCCTCGTGCTCGAGAAGAGCAGGCACTGTCAGCGCCTGGATCCTCTCCTTTAGGTTCGTCACGATGTTGTTGAGGATCCACAGCGCCATGTTGCTCAGGACAACCCTGTATTCGCCTAAATCGAAGTTCCTCAGGCACTGTTCGTTCTGCCTCGGCGTGTTCTCGATCTGGAACGGTTTGTCCCCGGAATACTGTTTCATATTGTGCAGCAACCTCAACGTGTTGCTCAGCCAGAGTACGCTCGAGTCGAAGTCCTCTCGTTTCTTCACCACCCGCTTCACGGCGTTCAGGTAACACGTGAGCAGCAAACGGACCTTCTGGTCGTCGTTTATGAAATCGGTGTGCCTGATGCACATGAACAAGATGTATGCTGGTAGACCGGGCAGCAATGTCACGGCAACTCTGGGCTTCAAATCTGAAAGAAGCAATCGTGGCTCAAGACACAGGGCGTTCCTCGTCGAGGAGACGAATGAGATGTTTTTCTAGGAGTAGAGTGATTCATAGGAGGCTTCGCAATTTCTTTTTACGTTTCTCAATGTAGAAATCGCGATTATAAGTCGATCATACGCGACAGAGGAGTATTTTCGTGCAATCGGTGCTGAAGAGTGGCAGGATTATGTGAACGATGACGAATATAATCCACTGTAGAAGGTTGATATCATAGTTGGATAATGATCGAACTCACCGATAACTAGATGACGTATTATAACATTGACATCCTCTTGCCTAAACTCGAACATGCCCTCGTAGTCCCTCTCCTTCTTCTTAATGGTCGGCATGTTGCTTCCGTTGTCTGCCGAATTGACGGTGGAAGACACTAACGAGCAATCTGTCGCAGGCTCCGAGGTATCCGGCACTGAGACAAAGATATTACATACTTGAGCGATACTCTGTCTACCTATAAAATCGATCATGAGTAACGTGAACTGAAGTAATTGTTGATTTATGAGGAAGGGTGAGTTATGGTCTGCGAGAAGTGCGATGACGATGAACGCTGGACCACAGACTCACCAGTGCCCCTCGTAACATAAGGGCGATCCCTATGTTCCTTAGAATCGTCTCCCTCATCTTCGGAAGCATTCAAATATCACAAAGTTTTAATACCGATTTCTAAACGCCCCCCGTTCGCTATAAGTTTCTTGGAAGTACGTTAAGTATCGTATATAAAAATTACAAATAATACATTTCTCTGTATTATTACCATACTCACAACCGGCATCCCGGAGACGTTTCGCCAGTATTTTACACTGTTTCTTGAACTTCCTGCACTCCTCCGCTATTTTATCGTACTTCTCCTGCAGCTCCTGTAGATTCGTTGAAAAGATGATGAAATATCGTAACCGAACAGCTATAAAGGAAGACAGATGAATCTTTACCAAATTCTCGGTAGTTAGCCTAGCAATCTCGTGTTGCATGTAAGCCTCGGTTTGAGTCTGCGGCGACTTGCTAAGGTTCACCGAGAGCAACTTCTGCTGCTTCTCGATCTCCTCCTGCAGCCGATCGATCTCCGCGCGCCATTCGTTCCTCTGATCCCGCCATCCCTTCTCCTTCATTTGCAGTTCATCTTCTAATTGCCTTTAAAACGAAGGATCGAAGAACAGAATGAATTTGCCGCTCTTCGATCGGCACAAGCACTACGATGTTCGTTCGATCGGAAGGGGATGATGCACAATCAAACTCAATCAACTATGATACAGCCTGTGATACCTATTCTCGAGACTAGCGATGAATAATTATTGCGAATGTTATCGTGAATCAGGATATACGCTGGCTTTCCACCGATTCTATGTTACGAAAGATCGGCTAAGCGGATTCGCGGGCAAAATTGTCTGCTGGAACTCACTCTCTTGAGGCCTTTGGCTTTGTCTTAAGTCTACTGAAAATCGAAGTGCATGCACAAACGACAAAAGGCACGATTAGACACACGTTTAGCTCCTCCTCCATCCGCGGCGAGCTACGCGAGCACGAAAGGCGTTACGATTTACCTGTTGATCTTCTTCTGCGTCTCGAAGGCGAGCACCAGCTCGCCGTCCTCGTTTATTATGTCCACGTCCCGGCCGTAATTCGAGCCCAGACTCTTCATCCTCCGCGTGTTGTCGGCCAGCACGCTGTGCAGCTGTATGCACTCCTCGCGCCGCCTCTCGAGTTCCTCCTGGAGCGCGTCGAATTGCCCTGGAATGGAAATTATTCAACCTACTCAGCCCCATTTTCTGCGGTTCCTGATGGATGATCGAAGCGACTTTGAAAGGCGTGAAATGAATGATTCATATCCGTGGAAACTGTTTATTTCTCATCGCGAGACTCGGAATCCTCGTTGTAAGCGGATAATTGAAAGTTTCAAGGGGATTTAAGTATACTCGTAGAGATAGAAAGGTTGCGATTCATTTCCGATTCTTTTCTTGCGAATCTTCGCGAAGATCCACCTGTCTATTCGTAATGATATGAACAGCGATGAAGAAACGAAGCAACGGAGAATGCGTGGAACGTTATGTACAAGGTGGTTCGTGAATTTTCCTTTTTACTCACCCCTTGCCTGTCAAACCGGTACGGTGTATGTTCGTAAACAGACATGTGCAAATGCAATGAATGGCAAATAGAAAGGAGATCAAATAATTTATACCGTTTATCGATATTCTTATCATTCATCGATAAGTTTTATCAGTCTTCGATTGCATCTCCGAACGACGAAAAACCTTGTACAAAGTAGCAAAGATAAGCGAGGCGTGTGGAAGGCGAGGGGTGCGAAAGCAAAAGTCTGCGAGCTGTGAATGTGCACTATATTTGTACAAACCATAAACGAAGCATCGTTTCGTGAGATTACAACAAATGAATAGAATAAGAAACAAAGCGATCAGAGATTCCTTGCGATCTCGAATAAACGGAACTGAACGATTCTATCGCGACAGTTTTCTGAACAAGTAACGAAAAGAAAAATTGATGAACTCCTGAACGATTAAAATTGTGAATTTACCCATGAGAGTCTGTTGTGCACCCGTCAGGCCCACCGAGGATACGCTTTTCCTCAGCGTGCCTAAATCCTTCTTCAGCTGAGCGTTCTCCATTTCTAGTTCTTGGAGCTGTAAGCGACAAAACTCGTGGTCAACATTTCCCTCGAACGATTCCTCGAACCGATCGCTAACGTTCGAACACGAAATTACCCTGAACGTGTCCTGCATCCTCGAAGTTTCTTCAGGTGCGTCCTTCTCCAAATCCTCCACCATTCTGATTAATCTTCCCTTCTCTTTCTCGACGTCCTTCAACTTCTGCTGAAGTTTCAGCACCAGACCGATGTCCACTGGCGCGTGGGCCGGTCCGTTCGTCTCTGGAGGTGATTTATGAGTTTGCACCTCTCCGTCAGGCGGGCTGTCCGATCGCTGCTGGTTCCAGTCGATCGTCTCCACCCTTGAGTAAGGAGCCGAGGAGGAAGCCGTGGATCGCACCGATCCGTAACCCAGATCCTGAACACGCCGAACACACAAGAAACAAATGAGAAACAGGATTCTTCGATTTCTCAACGATCGAAGAGTACTGTCGACGATCTTACGAGATTCTGATCGTCCTGCGGAAGCTCCGTGGACACGATCTGCCCACTGCTGCTGGAAGCATTGCTGAGCGAACGTGAATGCGCCGGAGCGTGCATCGCTAACTTCTGCTCCAGCATCTCCGCGTGCTGCTCCAGCTCGTGGAACTCCTTCAGCAACCTCTGATAGGCGCCGCGATCCTGATCCTGATCCAGCAGGAGGAGATCCTTCTCTTGCTCTAATCGGTGCTTCAAATTCTCCTCAGCACCCCGCTGATTGTTCTTCAGCTTCTCCGAAGCTACCGACAAGTCCTTCCTCAGCTTCTCTATCTCGATCTGAAGCTTTCTGTTCTCTTCGTTCTTCTCCTGAGTACTTCTCTCCTTGTCCTAATCAGCATACAAACCGAGTATCGAAACTGAACAAAAGAAATCAGACGATGAAGTTTACCTGCAAGATGTCCATCTTCTCGTCCCTCTCCGTCTTCACCGCGTCCAGCATCTTCTCCAATTCCTTCTCTTTCTCTACCAATATGAGATTCAGCTTCTTGTTCTCAGCGTCCACGGACTTCAGACTCTCCAGCTTGTGCTTCAAGTCTATCATCTCGTTCTGGACGTTCTTCAAGGATTGGTTCTCCTTCGACTAGAGGGCACGCCGTAAGCTCAGTACCGAAATCTATAATTTAATCATTCCTACGAAACGTACCAGCTCTGTGATCTTCTGCTGCAGCGTGATGATCTTCTTCTCTAATCCCTTGTTCAACGACTTCACGTGTTCCACGCTCCTGGCCTCGGCCTTCAGCCTCTTGAACAGCCTCTTCGCCAGGAACCTCCTGACACAGGCCTGGACGATTATAATGTTCTCCAATCTCTTTTTACAGGCCATCCGCACGAGGTAACCCCTGCAGAATCGCTGGACCGTGATCGCGGCGGCGTTGTCCCTCATCAGCTTGTACCTCTCCCTCGCCATCTTGCCCCTGCCGTACTTCTGGATGCCGATGATTGTGCGCTTGATCTTGAGATACTGGCGCCTCTTCAGCCAGCCCTTCACGCGGGCTTGTATCTTTATCGCGGCCCTTTCCTCCCTCACCGCCTGAGCCTTTTGTCTGGCGATGTAACCTCTGCCGTGCCTCTGGAGACCCAGCACCGCGCGGCGGATCTTCCTGTACCTGTTACGATAGATCAGACCGCGGACCGTCTTCTGGATCATTATACAAGCGTCTCGCTGTCTCTCCGCTCGCAGCTTCTCCAAGTAGGCCACCTGACCAGCTCGGAAGAGGACCTTTGTCTTACCGAATTTGAACTTGTCGTCGTCTTGAATGTACCTAAAGCGTTTCAGGATTGTTTAGAGCAATCCCGTGGGATTCTTACGGGGGAATAAACGAGGAAAATATGTTCCAAGTGCAATCGGAAAAAATCGAACCTTGCCAGAATACGCCTGCAGGTTTCCTTCAGGTCGTCGCGACGTATATCCTTGAACTTGCACAGACACCTGTACCTAAGGAAGAACTCGCCGTACGTCCTCTGACTGGGGAATCCGGCCGCGGATATCCTAATGGTCTCGAGCACACCGCAAGCTCGCAATTGTTGCACCGCGCGCACGGGATTGTACTCGAAAGCTTCCTTTGTATCATTGGGCTTGATGCAGCGCACGTAGTGCGGCGTGGTCGCGTTTAATGTGGCCATTAACATGTTCAAGGAATCCCGGAACTGCGATCCCACCTGCGGATCCAACGGGAACGATATTAATCCCTGCTCTGGAATGCTAACCACTGAACTGCGGATCTTTATGCAGATGCAGAATAGATTTTCACGTGCTGATTCAAGGGAACTAGAACAGAAACGCATGAAATCTGCAGTTCGTCGGTTAGAAGCTACGAGACTGATTCCGTACCGTCTTCTTGTTCTGCTTAGGCGTGGGAGGCATCGGCTTGTGGGCAGACACCTTCACCCTCACGTTCGAGGGCACTGAGAGCTTCGGGTCTTCTTCGCTCAGAAGCTTTTTCAATAGTTTATTCTGAAATGTTCCAATAATTTATTCCTGCGTCCTCTTTATCAACTGTCAAATGGTTCGCTATATAGACTGAATCTTTAGTGTCCTTAGGACTTAATCTTAGTTCTCTGTACTTCATTCATTGAATTGATCAACGACGAATTTACGCACTTCTCCGTTTCGCAGGGCGTCGACCTGCTCCTCGATCACAGTGTCCCTGTTCTTCTCCAAGAAGCCAATTGTCTCGTACTGCACGCGATCGGCGAAGTGGTGGATGAGAAAAGCAGACGTGCCGAACCGTGGTTTCTCGAAGTGCTTCGACTTCCCGCACTTAGCGTAAAGCTTCTCCGTCCAGGAACTGTCCGAGCCTTTCGGCATCTATCGTTCAACGGTGATCTCTTAATAGTGAGCTCGATAAAACCGGCCCGGGGAAACGCGTTAGAAGTTCTTACTGACTCTGCACTCCTCGTCCAGCAGGTCCAGTATGCCCAGCTTGGTCTCGATCAGATCGATGCAGGGTTGATTGTCGTAGAAGTCGATGAAGGTCCACTCGATCTCCTCCCTGAGGTACTCCTCTTGCTCCAGCTTGAACACGTGCTGATTGAACTGCTGCTGGAGCTTCTCGTTCGCGTAATTGATGCAGAACTGTTCGAACGAGTTCACCTCGAACGTCTCGAACCCGTAAATGTCGAGGACGCCGATGAAGCATTGCGGCTTGTTCTGGGACTGCAAAGAGTTGTTGATCCCAGCTACGATCCAATTGAACAACTCCGCGTAAATGTGCTTCGCCAGAGCGTCCCTGGCGCCGATCGCTTGCTCGACGTTCATCGGTTTCAGGAACACCTCCCTCATCGAGACGATCTTCCGGTGGCACAGCCACTTTCGCATCGCCTTCATGTCCGTGCCCAACAACTCGCAAATCGTCAAGAGATGCTTGTCCGTCGGCTGGAAGAAGAAGCAGCGTGGTGATATTGAAAGACAGGGGCGCGTACAGTTCGGTATCTGACGAAAGTATCTGACTCCCCTTGTGCCACAGACGCTGCATTGTTCGGACGAGTATTGGGATATTGACACGTTCGAAAGTGGAAGGTACAATAGGCTACAGAAAGGCGTTTGATGCGTAGACGAGGATTTGGCAGGAAGAGGAAGGTAAAGAGGAACAAGCAATAGCTCTTTCGCGGAGGAAATTGATCGCTCTCTCGTGAAGAAAACTGGCGGCACTCTCGTAGAGGAAGACGGAGAAGGACAAATGCAATTTTTTAATATACTGTGTATTTACGTGATACAAGGGTCTGCCAGTTACCATCTCGATTGACTGTACCATCGGTAAAAGCGAAGGGTGCATATTTACGGATATATAGCTGGCCTCGGTGTCGTTCTCATTGCCCGAACTCTGGGCGTCGGAACTCGTGATCTGAACGTTCCCTAAATGTATGATGGCGGCTAGAATACATAGCATGTCGTCCTGTTGCTTGGACGAGAAACCGAGCATGGTGAGCGCGGTGATGGTCTCGTCGAAGCACGTTAAATCGTCGACACCGTCGATCAACGGATTATTTCCTTGGTTCAAATAGTGAAACTTATTCTGATGACCTAGATGCAAGTGCGGGAGGCGGGACGCGGCTGCGCACATTTGGTAAAATACGTGATAATTCCTTTCCTCATTCGCCTAGAGAATTGCTCGTTTAAACATCGATTTCGGAGGAATGATCGCTGGAGTATCATTTCAATCCCATCTGTAATCATACCTGAAACACGACCCTGGACTTCTCGAGCAGATAGGTCCTCATGCTGGCCCCGGTTATGTGATAATGCTTGTTAAACTGGATCTCGATGAACTTGCCGAACCTCGATGAATTGTCGTTCCTCGTTGTCTTCGCGTTACCGATCGCCTCCATGATAGGCAACGAGGCGAGCACCTTCTTCTCCACCTGTGTCTCGGTCGTCGAACCGCCCACAGTCGCGAAATATCGCATCGTATACTTGGCAGACACGGTTTTACCCGCGCCGGACTCCCCGGAAACGATGATCGATTGATCGTGGCCCTCCCTAGGTTCACGTTGCAACGTTTAAGAATCCTCTAGAAGATTCTTCACAAATCTGTCAATCGACACATTTACTGTCTACGCATCTGAGCTTGAACTTTGCAGAAATTCCCGATGATTCTATTGTTCAGTAAAGAACGAGGTGAAAATTTCATTTGAATTCGATTTCCCTTCTACAACGATTCGACTTTCTATTAATGAACGTTTCAATACGTGTTTAGAATTGAAAGATGTTTTGATAAACAAGTTCAAGTTATGACGGGACAGTGAACGCGTCGACGAAGAGAATATCGAACCTTTCCAATTTCGTGTAAGCTTCTTCAGCAACTGCGAATATGTGGGGCTCCAAATCGCCCATCGCCTGCCCCCTGTACGCCCAGATCGTGTCATTCCCGTAGATTGGAAGCTCATTGTACGGATTGAACGCGACCAACACGATCCCGCAGTAAGTGTAAATGCAATGCCTTTGGAATCGTATCTGAAGATTGTAGAGGACAGCCGGCTCGTGGAGGAACGACAGTGACGTTAAATTGTTCTCCCCGATGAGAATATCCGGGTTCCGTAACGGCGGCAGATCGGTGCCCGATTTAATTTCCAAAATCTTTATCTGATTCGAGTCGTCCGTGCGGACCTTCAAGTTCCGTTGGTTTAGCTTGTAATCCTCGAGCAGCAATGCGCCTTCCCAGACCTTCTCCGGATGCGGCACCCACACCCTACCACCCTGAAGAATGCATAATCTTCAACCACTGCACCTTTGACCTTTACGCTCGACAGATTCTCTGAATACAAGTATGTATCACTTTCCGATGAAATGCCAAAAGTCTTTTCCGGAATAAAGAAAAATCATATAAATCGAGGAACAGAATTATTCTAGCTCAACGTTTATATTTACGCATTGTACAAACTTTGATATTGAATATTTAATTTTCTAATTTCACTGCATCGAATAAAACACCGACTAAAAGTTGCCTGTCGAGCGCAAAAGGTTGATTTCATCAAGAATTAACGGACTAAGATTAAAAAGGTTCCATTGGAGAGATGAATAAACTAGAACAGTTTCGAAATATTTTTCTAGGAGTAGAGTGATTCATAGGAGGCTTTGCAATTTCTTTTTACATTTCTCAATATAGAAATCGCGATTATAAGTCAATCATACGCGACAGAGGAGTATTTTCATGCAATCAGTGCTGAAGAGTGGCAGGATTATGTGAACGATGACAAATCCACTGTAGAAGGTTGATATTATAGTTGGATAATGATTGATGGATAATGATTAATTTCACTGCATCGAATTAAACACCGACTAAAAGTTGCCTGTCGAGCGCGAAAGGTTGATTTCATCAAGAATTAACGGACTAAGATTAAAAAGGTTCCATTGGAGAGATGAATAAACTAGAACAACAGTTTCGAAAGAAACTACCTGTGGACGTCGAGACTCACAGGTAGTTCGACGTTGAATCATCGACTAAAGATGGCTTCGCGAGGCACGTTGTTCAACCTCGCAAACGAGCTCGCACGGGTTAATTACTCAGCGTCTAATTTTCACCCGTTTCAAAAGATGACCCGTTTTTCTTCTCCATCTTTTTTTTCTCTACAAGTGGCACGTATGAAAATGAGGTCGACGATACAGCATATCGATTCCGACGCCGCGAGTGCGCCAAATCGGGATTGGTGATCGCGTTAACCGTAATATCACCGTGCCGCCGTCGTTTATGCGTTTGCGGCTTGCCCCAGTATAGGGAACGCGATGTGTACGATATTCTAAACACAGAAACGAAACGAGTACATTCTAAAGAAACTTCTACAATACCAAGAGAGAACGACAATCGACGTAAACTAATTCCCCAGCGAGCATCAACGATCGACAGCAAAGGATCTCTTAATCAATTCTGCAATTACAATCGCGGAGCAACAAGTCACGTCGAGCAGCGTAATCTAATTTCAATCGAGGTTACGATTCGAAGGAAAATTATTAAGCTACTCGACGATACAGCGGGGATACCGAAAAGCCTATTAGCAGGCTTCCTTCGGCGAGGTGTCAAGATCCAGAGTGCGTTCAAGATTATTGATCGCGGACGATCTCCGCATGCTCTATCTCGAACGGGACATTCAGGAATAGAATGGCCGGTGTCGTGTCACATTTTTCCATGGGAGCACAAAGAAATCGGTAACGGTACTCAACGGAGTCGCGCTTTGCGACACGAAACGCCGAAATGTACTGTTACCGCGGCGAAAGACGAGTTACGTGATCGGAAGGAATATCGAGCAACGGTAAAGTTCACTGCTACCATTTTCCCGGTTACCTTGGCGCGGTCCGACTCGCCACGGAGATTCGAGATATTTAGCGGGCCCGCGCTGTCTTCGCGGGACAACGTTACAACCGCCAGCGCTGGGCGAGGAAAGAAGTGAAAAGTAGCCGTGAACTCTCACGATCCAATCTTGTATGTCAACTGTTACGCAAGATACGGCACGAAGGACGCTCAGAAAGAAAGAAGCGACGAACGAGGGGATCAGCCTCGTGGACAAATTATGGGGCTACTTGATGCTTTTAGCCGCTAATGGAATATGAAGATTCCTTTAATCGTCGATGTGTCGTTTATATTTGAAGACGGAAAATATTGCATACCGTTGACGAGTTCGCTGCCAATAGCAGTCACGTATCCGTGACAACAGCAGTTATATGCTTCGCGCGAGGACAATGGAATTAATGCTGTAGATACTGTTATTTATAGCTGCGAGATACGACGTTATATTTAGAAATTCAGTGACTTCTTTTAGTTCCAGGTTTCCAACGTATTGTTTGGATTCGTCGGATTCGTTAACGCGTAGATACCGTTATTCATAGCTGTGACGTATTTTGTATTTATTCGGTAATTCCTTGTAGTTCCGTGTTCTCGATAATTCAGTTAGATTCGTCGGAGTCGAAAGCCGCAGTAAAGGTGTCAAACGAGGATATTTATTTCCGAGCGGTCGGCCGATCGCTGACTTCGCGATATCGAGTTGCGTAATGGCAAATTCAGGCGCGTCCCAGCGAAATGCGGCATTTCATAACGCGCCGCGGCCTCCCGTGGTAATCCACGATACGAGAAGAAATCGAGCAAGCAAACGCATTCGCGACGCCGCTTCATGACTCCCTGAGTCATGTTCGGCGAGCAGTTTAAGCCCCGTTTCCACCGGGGACCGGAGATAAATCTGTTCTCACAGTTTGCAAAACTAAACTTCTATTAATCACCGTTTAATCTATGGAAGTTCGCGCGTGGAGAGACGATTCCCAAGCTTTCTACGTTACACCGCGCGGAACGATTACCGTCGGAGTTATGGCCGGCTCGCGGAAAAAGCGGAACTCCGCGCAGGTTCCCACGCGACTTGTTAATTGAAAATGCGATCAGAACCGGCCCGCGACAATCCGTCTCCGCTCGCAGATGAGAACGCGCGGCTTTCCCTTTTTTCTTCCAGCGGGCGAATTAATTAATGCCTCCGAGGCCCTCGCGACGGCAACGGTTATTGCGTAAGGATGCATTAGCCATGCAAATTTCCAGGTACCATTCATGAACGCTCCTTTCCTCCGCTGGATGCTAATGCTCGCGGAACTTCGATGTAAAATTAGTATCAAGGTAACGTTTCTGGGAATGAACCTTTCCAGCCGGGATTTTAACGTACTCTTGCTTCATGAAGATACTCTGGGAAGCTGGATCAATGGGTTATTATATTGTAATGGTATTTTCAATGGAACATTGTTGCGAGATTCGAGATAGCGATAGGGTAACTTCCAGTCTTAAGAAGAATATTATACACGTACATTCTTTCTGTTTAGATCGCGGGTTTAGAAAGTTCGAATATTAGACTATTTTCAGCGAAACGCCACCTTGAAATGGTACTTTCCAGTTCCCTTAAATATCAAGGCAGCCACGGCGCCTGTGTGAACGCAGTCCACTCGCGTGTTGTGTCTGAGCTTTGCGAACCGATCTACGGCTTCTGTCGCGTTTCACCCGTGGCTCGTCTCGATATTCACGCCGCCCGACTCTTTTTGCGGAAACTATTGAATAAAACGGTTCGCAGAATCGTTGAAAATACTCGGACACCATTTTCCCGCGACAGTTGCAATCCAATCAGTGTGACGGATAAAGGGAAGTGCTCGATTTCTCTTATCGGGCACTCGACTGCTCCGTCGATCGAGTAGCCGGTTAATAGAATTGGGATAAAAAATATTGTTCAGACTACCGAACCGCCGGCGATGGAACGAGATTAGATTCGGGTGTAGGAAACACTGGTAACCGAGTCCCCGTTTCGGTCTAGCCGGTGACATTCGCGCGAAAGTGGGAAGAGGATGGAAACCTGCAATCTTATCAACAGCTGCGAGGCCAGTACACGCGAGTGAATCACTACGCCACAGATTCCTCCCATCGAAACCGCGAATTGATAACGGCCAGACCCACCGTTCCAGACGCCGCCTCGCAATTACACGCATAAGTATTCCCCGGATCTGTTCCGTTTGCATATCGATCAAAGGTAGCGGCAAAACGGGACGGAAACCTTTCTCTTGAAAATTAAGACACTAACGTAATAAAGCAAGAGAACCGGGGGCAACATGAACGCAGAAATTGCCGCGTTCGGTCACCTTTAAAACGACACACACACGCGGCTTATCGCGTTGCTGGGATCGTTTACTCGTTACATTTTACATAACATTTGCATCCATTGTCGGACACGTAACGCTCGTCTATATTTGCAGCGGCCATGTGCGAACCTGCCATTCCTACGACTGTCTTTTCTGTGAGAAACAGCATTGTTTATTTTGACAAACGAAGAGGGAAACATTGAAGAGCATCTCGACCTGACTGAAAAACGTCCTATTCCATTCTAATCAACATTGTTTCTATTTTTTCGATTATCTGCTTCCTCCATTTTTGAACGCACATCGATGATACACGTTTCCGGAGGGAAGATAATACAATGTTGTATATCGTCCTCTTTCGTAACCGGTGAATCATAATTTTACTAAAGTCCCTGTCAGTCGAGCGATACGATGTGCACCGATAAAAATTCGAAAATACCTGTTCTATATAGGAGAGTGTATTGTTTTCAAATTGACAGTCGAAGCGTGACTCACTCTCCGCGTGTTTACGCGTTCACACTTGCGCCCCGTGTACGTCGTCCGATAAAGGTCGTTTGGCATTCGCGCGACGAATTCGAGGTGCACTCGGGACGAGACCGCTGCATTCGGAGGGACCGGCTGACGTCGTGTCCGTCGCCGCGAGATCGATCGCCGTGCCCCGGCAGCGTTGCTCCTGAGAAAGGCGCCGGGTTCGCCGTTATTGGGAATAACCAGGTCAAGTTTCCCGCCCACGCACGGGTTTTTTTCCACGTGCGTCGCGATCAGCGACGATCGACACCGGCCACGGGTTGCCTGGCTGCACCCTGCTCTCCCAATAGAATTTCCCTTTCATCGCGGTGACAATGAACGTGCAAAGACCTCTCATGGGAGCCAGGAAAGATCTATAGGCTGTCAAAAGAAGAATCCTCGCAGAGGTTACAGAGGAATGTCTCGAATTGACCTAAAGAAAAATTCGAGACTTTGTGTTTTAATTTCTTTATAGCTGACTATAAAAATGTTACAACGTTGGACCAAATTTTTTCTGTAAGGTTAAGTTAGAAACTTTTTCTAACGAGGGATTCTTTTATCGATTTATTTCTAGCTGAATGATTCTGTGAAAATGTTGGACCATCTTTCCATTATCACCCTGTATGTTCGGATACACGGCGGAACTTGTCAGATTTGACGAATTTCCGTGGCGCATTCGTGACCCACTCTCTCTATCATTATCTCGCGCAATTACGAAGTAGATAGTGACAGTGGTTCGCGTAGAGGACAGGCCAACGCGGAAACCACCGTGCAACGATCCTCATCCACCGAAGCCCGCGACCGTGAGAACGTTGGCTCATACTTTCAACGGTTGAGGTTGAGCAAGATCGCGAAACGGGCTCGCTTCGTGGGAGATTGCTGCGAGGAATCCTCCGTTTTCACGGGGACTGCACAAAAGGGCGGTCGTAACGCCATATTTAGCCGCGGTAGGGTTTGTCGTGCAGTGAATTGCAGCGTCGCCAGTGGAACCTAGAAATCTTGTCGCTCCGCGCAATTTCATCGAATCCTTTCGACTCGATTTAGAAAACTCGTCGCGTTTGACGCGAAGAAAACGGGTTCGCAACATCTCTCCGACTCCGAGCAGTTCGTCTTCGTCATATTTATTAAAATCAGAGAGTCGGAGTCTCTTGCAGGAATTCTTAGCGGGGAATTGCTCGTCCTTCTAATCTTCGAAGGAATCTCCGCTGACCTTTAAGACGAAATCTCGCGCGAACAGGGAATAGAATCTCAAAGCGAATCCCTCCGTCTCGTTGCGACGAAGAAGCGAGGAGAACGACCTATTCCGAGACGTTTTGCTTCTCCGCTCCTCGGGAGAAAGGGAGCTAACTGCCTGCCGCTGAGCTAGCCTCTGCGGATCACGTTCCTCGAACCGATCGTGCGAGCAACAGTTTCGAATGGGGCTAGCTTACCTTTAAATGTAAAGGTGCGATCGGGACTTCGTTTCGAGTTTCAGCCGGTTGCATAAGGCAACTTTTATCGCCTTGCATCCGGGAGACGTTCGAGCATTTCTTGCACAACTCGAATCAGCAAAGATGAACGAGAATATTTCGACTCGAACGGTTCGAGTCCTCCGGTAAAAGTCCCAGGTCTCTTTGCTTTCAGACATCCCGTACACTCGAGTGACGCGGAATTCGAAAGGAACTCGGCGACTGAACCAATTTTCACAGAATTGGACTAATCAAGATAGCCGAAAGAAGAGAGACAAGGGAACAAAGAGCAGTGGAATGGAAGCTGGTCGCAGAAAAGAGAATACTCGAGAATAAAGGGCGAAGCAGAAATGGAAAGATTGCAGAGGAAATATTTAGTGGCGCGTACCAGGGAAAAACGTGATGCGGAGAGTGTGTTCCAGCTTTTGTTTCTTGCCTACAGGCCAACATCCATAAACATGGCGTCGGGGATAATAAATATTAGCTTAGAACGTCTTACATCTCTAACGAAACGAGCCACGCTTCACCGGTCCCAGATATGAATCGAAGCAAATTGAGGCAAACAAGGTCCCATCTCGGGATCAATGCGGACTGTAGAATGCATGCTTCCATAAAATGCATGATACGACCTCGGACAACCCTCGCAGTTCACCTGCCCAAGGCAGTAAATCAGCCAAGATGGAGAGCTGCTATACGATCTTAAAGGGGCAGGTCCGAGGCGCGTTAAGCCTCGTTCTCACCGAGAGCATTGACTATCTTGAACCTGTATCGCGATTAGATCTCGTGTATACCAACCAGTGTTCCGTACGGGGCGTAATTATCTTCGGCAACCTTGTATGACGTTAATTACCGGGCTGCGGATTTTATGCGCGTATGCATGACCGTTTAAGATTCTGTATTATACAACGTTCGATCAAATTTAACCGCACCGTCCACCATTGGAACTCGACAGAAATAAAAATGGACTCTCGTTCGATCCCGATCCTTGTAAATTGGATCTTACTGGAGGAATCGCTATTTACATAAGCATCCATTCGTTAATTAAACTTGCAATTATCCGCGGGGTATGGTAATAGCTGAATTGTATTTTCTTCAATGGGCTCTTATGAGATTAACTCCTTTCGCATTTGCATTGAATTCCCCTGGCAGCCCGCGTTTTACACCCTACGGTTCAACGTTAGAAAACAAGTGGCCCGATGATTGAATTGTATAGAATATTAAGCGGAGTTTCTCTGTCCAATTTAACCGTCGCTTTCTAGCCTTTCTACGTTAAATGACCTTTAAACCGACCCGAATGAGGCGTTCGGTTCCGGCGCATTAATTCTATTAATTTCGCGACGCACAGCGGGACATTTGAACAGCAATAAATAGCCGCGATTATGGGCCGGTGTTTCATGTTCAGGGCCGATGAGTACGGTCCGCCGTGACGGTACACTGTCAAGAGGCACTTGGTCTCGCGCGGAATAAACGTTATCGTGCTCGTCGGCCTAGCTCGCGTCACAGTAATCGTGCCACCCGGTTCTAGAAGCAGAATTTAGGTCTCTAGGCGGCAGTGCTTCCCGTCGACAATTATTGATTTTTGTTTCGAAAAGAATCCCTGTTTTAGACTTGTTTTCACTGCGCTCGTTTTGTTCCCTGTTGTTACTCCTTAAACGCCCTATATATCAACCGCAGGGACGCCATTCGTTTCGCTGTAGCTATCAGACTGCACACGATCCTCCATTATTGAAAGTTAACTAAAACTACCGAGTAGTTAAACTGACTTTTTGAAATTTCTCTATACACTCCAATACATCCATTGAAACTTTAATTGAACAATTCAGTTTGCGCATCGCTAAATCAATTTCTATAATAATTTCTCAGAGGAACATTCGTCACCTTAATAATCGCAAAAGGAAGAAATCAGGAATGAGTCATTTTGAGCCGTCAGGTAGTTTTAGTGTTCACTCTAGATATTGTGGTTGACGAATGTTACGAAATTCAAGTGCCATGAGAAATAGACGACGTTTGCAGTAAATCTTTCGAAAGATGAACAGCTCGAGTTCACGTGTCTCTTTTTCCGTGGGTTCGTCGTCGAAATTCCGAACACGTCTGTTGGAACAACCGATAGAATGTAACTTTGCTCGGAACGCATGAATATTGCGAATCACTCGCGGAGAGGCCAAAGAATCAGCCGCCTCTCGTGAAAGTTGTTCATGGGTCTAGCCTGAGAAAGATACCTTCACTCGGGTCCGATGATGCATACCCGCCGACTAATTTGGGCAATATCCATCCAATTATTTTCCGAAACAATTAACCTTGCATCCGGCGGCGGTGGCTGATGAAAGTGCAAAAGAGCATCGCGCGTCGTTGGAACGGTGCAACGCGCCGGCGAGCGTAGAAGTAATTCGGTTCGCGTATCGCGAACAAACAGAAAATCGATAGGGGACTCGTTAAATCTACTTACGGCAGATATTTATATTAACCTGGCGGCCGGTCGCCTGCAACTTTCACGGAAACCACGGGAAAACGCGAGCCTTCCACTCGACGCATTCTCACCGTTCCCAGAAAAATCCCTGGCTTATTTACGGTGACCAAACCGAAAGCTATTGGACCTGTTCTCAACTTCCTGCGCGCTCGACTGGAGCCAAACTTTTCCACGAGGCTCGAAAATTTCAAGTGCTCCGCGATATTGCACACGCAGTCGCGGCAAAGTTCGAGGAATCGTCAATTCCCGGCGCATAATAATGTTTACGGTGCCCGAAAGTTTCTCATCGATCCTCGGAACGTATTGTCTCATTGGGAGATCCAGAACTCCCTTCAATTTCGGAGTAGACTGTTTACTCTCCGACAGCTACTGAATACCATTCGCTTCCGCCCGAAACAATATAAAATGAACAATACCGAGCAACATCCCAAAGCAGCCTAAACAACAAACTAACTCAGCTTCTTCGGCAAATTAATCCCTTCGGTAACAAGACGCGTCGACACTCGAAACACCAGCTCCTACACGATCGAACGTACTACCTGCGTACAAATACTACTTCCTTTAAACATCGTACAACAATATTTACCTTTTTTCCCTGCGCACGCAAAGAAACCGAGAAAGAAACGCCGAAGGACGACACCGACTCAACGGCTCGAGTACCTAAGTAACTGAACCTACTCGAATGTTCGCAGCACACCTTTCCTCCAAGTGCAACTGAAATACCCAGCAAATATCAAAGACAACGTCGCGACGAGACCACGATTCTGGAGCTATCCGGAAGTGGTGGCCGGGTACTCGTAAGATCGCACGCTAGAAATTCGCAGGGGGAACGGCGTGCGGCTCGGGTTTCGCGGGCAGGTGAGAAAAATGTCAACAGACGGGACTCGTCCCGCGGCTGGTCTAGCCTAGACCAGTTGCCATCGTGGAACTGGATCGCTCGGCGGTTGCTCGAGCCAGCGATTCAGGTGGAATCTGTTGCCCGTACCTTAACGTACAGCTCCCTCGTAGTCATCGCGGCTCGGTCCAGGTGGCCTGGGTCAGGTCAGGTACGGAGCGGAGGTGAGCAGCTCAGCGGCCGCCACGGGCACACACGACTTCACGCACGCACGCACACACCTGAGAGGCACCAGATAACGAGTACCCTACGACATTTGTCGCGTCGCGGTCTTGTGTACGCGCTACGATCGACGCGAACAACTTCCCTCGGCTGTACAGTACATCCTGGTGTCACCCGAGGCGCGGTCACGGCATGTTTCTGTTTTTATTTGAATTTTTTTCCTTTTCCTTCCTCTGGTCGTTTGTTCTCGTTTCTGTCTCTCTGTCCTCCCGACGGCTCCTCTCCCTTTCTCTCGGCCCAAGGTCCACGGAGATCCCAGGTACCGAATCCCGAAGTTAGCGAGACACTCTCCGCACGGTCGATCTTATTCCTCGGTCTTCCCTCCACGGACGACTCCTCGATCTTCGAAACGTTCTCCACGATCGACCCAACGAACCGCCGACCGTGGCCCACCGGGAAATGGATTTTCGCGAAGGTCGTACCTCCACGTAAACGTCGTACGACGGCACTGCCACCAGCTGGTTCGTTATCGGGTTTAGATTCGGCGCCCCTCTACGCCTACACGCTCGACCACTCTTCGCCTCTCTCCGGAGTCGACGCGACACGTCGCCTCCTCCTCGTCGCTCGGCCGCGGCGCGGTTCTCGCTGTCTCCGTCTAATGATCGAACCTCGAGTTACACGCCATCTCACCGGGCAACGGGCGAACGACGGTTCGAATTTGTTCCCGCGGCGGTTTCTCCGGGATGTTATTTGAATTCGAGGGATCTGCATCGTGATTTTTATTGTATTCTTTCGGTTTTCATTTTTTCGGAGAACTTTCCGTCTGATACTGGTGGGTTTTTGTTATTGCGACATGTTTTGAGAGGTCATTTTATTTTGTTGTGTAATCGAGAGGATGCTTGAGGCGAAGCTGGGATTAGTTGATGTTCGTTGATTATTGTTGGATCATCATTGTTAATGATGAACTGTGTTGAAGTATGAGAGGCGCCGGGAGTTATCAGTTCGCATAATGGACGGTAACTTCGAAGTTCCGATAACTTCATCCTTTGCTCCTTGGATACGTTATCGGCATTGTCGATAACGGGTCGCGGATATCGAGCTGCCGGGAAGTCGCCGAGGGAATGATAAGCTTTAATTGAACGATACCGTTTTTAATTCATTATTTCAGATTTTTTCATTGAACAAGGAATATACGAGTTCCTCGCGAATGGTACACAAACAGTCGATCAACTTCAGGGGCAATGTCGAATTCTTCGATTTCCGTGTGAGACGGAACTGTCATGGCTCGTTAATAAATCGCAGTGAAACGTTAACCGTAGATTCAGTGATAAAACCTGGAAGCAGCCAGAATTAATTTCAGTTGTAGTTAGCAGTATGATCTATTAGAGGGGCGGACGATCGGATCATGGCATTTTTCCAATTAGCTCTGAAAGCCAGGAAGCTGGAAAAAGCGAGGCTAAAGTACGAGGATGAAAAATTTCGATCGATCGAGATCTCGGAGGGTGCCAAGCCCCGATACACTTTGAAGCAGCGAATCCGCCGTCAGAAGTTGCGGTGAGATTCGAAATTCCTTGCGCTGCCAAATTGTAGTCGGAAACTTTCTTTTTTATTGCATTGATATCAATCGAGTAGCCTCGATCCTCTATAACCAATTGCATCGATAGAAGATCCATCCAATATTGAATTCAATAATATTAATTCACCTTTAATAGCATGAAGAAGAAGATTCGAAGGGTCTTCGACAAAGTCTTCGCGATCCCAAGACGTTCTTGGATCTACCGGAAGATCGTCGATGCGCGCACGGACGGGACCCTGGAGAATTACGTCGCGAAAAGTTTCCTGGGCTTTATCGGAGGGATATTCCTCACATACATCTTCTTCGGCTTCTTCGTTATTCAGCTGAAATATAAGCTGTCCTCTGCGACGTTCCTCTGCACCGCGATCGGAGTCCTCTTAACCCTTGGCCTTGCGTTTTCTCCCAGAGTTCGGTTAGAAAAATCAAATAGAAACTTTTCTATCGCACTGAAATCCCTAAGGGATGATTCTTTAAACTTCGAGCGAGATCTACTTATCTTGCGCGAAGAATCTGAAGATCGTCCGATTATTATTCGCTTAAAAAGTAGTGTAGAACCTCGGAGAATCCCGCGAAATTTCCTGAAGTTCCCTTCTGTTCTCGGTAATTCTTACTTTTCTACTTTTCTCCGTAGTTGTATAGTGTTCCTGTTATTACCCCAATTCTTCTCGAAGCGGGGACGGCAAGCGTTGGTCGCGTACGCTTTTATTCTAGCGTTAACCGGGCCGGTGAAGAACACTTTGCAAAACGTCGGCGTTCTTACCGAGTCGCTGGCCTGCGCGCAAGTACGCCTATAATTCACCGTCATTGAATGCCATCATTTGCGAACGCATCGTATCGGTGCACCGTTCATTAGACACCTGTCATGTATTTTATTTTCTAGGAGCAGCTGAAGGAGGCGGTGAAAACCGTGATAGATCTGGCGAAGCAGCCATTTTACGCTCTACGGGACGCGATATCGAAAGTCATAAAGTCGGTCAAAGCTGTCGTGAAAAGAATCAAGCAGACCCTGCTCGCGATCAAGAGGCTCGTCCTTAGTATATGTAAGCGTCGATTCAAATATCAAGCGTAGAGCCCCGACATTTATACGAACATCGATTTTCGTATCGATTTTCGCTTGAAAAGGGAGTTCTCTTATTTTGCCAAGTGTCCTATTAAATTTCAAAGACAATGAAAACCTTGTTAACAGATTGCAGATGTCGGTTGTATCGAAAAAAGAAATATTTAAAAGATAATATTCTTCAGGGGTTGAAAGCTATTTGTTTGTTCCAGTGAGAGTCATCACTTCAGTGTTCCAGTGGCTAGGCAGCGTGATAAATATGTGCAACAAAAAATTAGGCACACCGTTCGACAGGTGTCAGAGTGTCTTCGATGGCGCAGTGGCTGACTGCAAAGCGAAACTGGGGCCATTTTTCGGGGTGGTTTGCAATATAACCTACGTGGTCAGTACTCTCTGCTACATTGTGAAGCCTTTAGATTTCATCTGTATGCTGGTTTCCTACGTGGCTGACACTGTCGTCGGCGCGGTGAAGAGAAGTGAGTGGTCAAACGAATCTCGCGTCGTTACTCGTTCCTGTTCCGTGTTACGGTGATAATTATCCGCTGCGCTCTTCCACGTATTGATCTTTACAATTTGCAGAAGTCAAACGGTTCACAATGCACATGAAGGCGATGTTTTACGTTAAGGTGAAGTTCTCTCACTCCTTTCACTTCGAGACGAACCAAAGCAAAACGATAGGGGACGTGTCCACTGGCATCGCGACCGAGATACGATCGAGGACAGACAAGTTGTTCGGTGTCTTCGACTCGATCACCTTCGTCACTTCTCTCTTCGTGTTCATTATCGTACTTAGGTAACGGCACAGCTTTCACGGCGCTGATCGGCTAAAGAAAAACTACCATTTATTTCCTCTGCCCCTTTCAAGCGATATCTTTCGCGAAACATCATTTTTCAACATACTTCGCGAACGATGAATTCCACCTCTAGCCTCTCCAGGATCGATACCCCAACGCAAAACACGTTTCTCCGAACTCCCGACACTTTTCCTTGCACCGACACCTTTCCAAAAAGTAGTGCAACGCTTTCGATGAATGCATTTCCAGAGTAATGCGTTACCGTTTCAAATGGCTGACCAGCGAGCGCTTCGACAACCGATACATAACTGACGACCTGCGCACTATCGACATAATAAGAGCTCGCCAAGATAAAGAAACCGTTCTACCGCTTAATCCGCGGGAGAGAAACAAATACGCGCCTCTATCTTCCGTCATACTGATCAAATCCGAGAGGATTAAGTTAGTCAGGTCTGCGGTGTTTCTGGGATTGGCTACGATCAAGTTGATCTCTTACATGGTCATAGACTATAGCCTCTATTGGGTATTGAACACTATTCAGACCCACGGTCGATTTCAGAGCAAGGTAAATCATCGAACGCTAGTGATAATAATTCGATAATGAAGTCCTGATGGTTCGCAGGTAGAGAAGCCAAGCGTGGTGACCATTCACGTAGCAGGGGAAGGGTACATGTCCGATCTCTACAGGAGCATCGTCAAAGCTTTCACGCCTCGCGAGAAGGAGACGGAAATGAACACGATGCTCTGCCTTCCGAGCCCCGTGCCGCCTAATTTCGACAAATACACCCAGATCGTCGCGTTGATCGTCCTCTGCTGGTTCGTAGCTGTCTTCGAGCCCTATGGACTGCGGCTGAGGCACGTGGTGCTTTGCCAGTATTATCCTGACAGGGCGAAGCAACGAGCTGCTTGGTTGTACAACCATATCATCAGGTAACAGGACCAATAAAGTTGTTAACCTTTCACCGCGGAGCTAGCTGGAATGCCAGCTTCGTGGATAACGTTGAAAGAAGTACACGGAAGCACCGTCGTTAACGGAGGATGTGGATAGATCGAGGGGAAACTTCCTGAAGTTCGCCAGACGACAGCTTCGCCGGAAGTTCGGTGTGACTGATGGAGAGAAAATGGAGAAAGTCACCTTGCAGGACAGATTGTGGGCGATATGTCCGTGTCTGAACGTTCTGTTCCCGCGAAAGCAGAAAATGTGCCTGTTGTGCGGCGCGGTGGAACGCTCCGACGATGACCCGCACATAAAGTGCCCGACTCCGGGTTGCGTAGGCCTGTACTGCTCCCAGTGCTTCGCGGATATGCAGAACATGTGCACGATTTGCCGGTCGCCGGTGGATTACGGTGATTTGTCGGATATCAGCGAAGAGAAGTACGAAAAGGCTTTAATGGCTGTCTCTGGAACGTAGGGGGTATTAACCCGTGATGAATTCTTGTGTCAGAGACTCTTCCGAGGAAGAGTATCCAATGGTAAAAGTAAAACCTGAAGAGATGCCTGAGGAAGAGGAGGAACCGAAATTGGAGGAGGAAGAAGAGAAACTTGAAGAGGAGGAGGAAGAGGAAGATGAATTTGAAGAACAGGAAGAAGAAGAACTTGAAGAAGAAGAAGTTGAAGAAGCTGAAGGAGAAGAAGAGGAAGAAGTTGAGGAAGAAATTGAAGAGGAAGAAGAAGAAGTAGCGCAAGAAGAGATAAAGGAAGAAACACCAGAGGAAAGAAGGGAAAAAGAGACAATGGAAGAGCTAGTGAAAACATCGAAGTCAAAGGAAATTTCTCAAGAAGTTCTAACGATAGATAAACACGCGGCTCAGCAAACGGAAGAGAAATACGAGGAAGATTCTGATTCAGACTATAGTTACAGTAAGTATTCAGTATACAACTCCTGCAGTCTATTCAAACTAACGTTTTGTCAGCGTATCAAGACGAGTCACCAAAGGAAACGAAGATAATGAAGAGGGAACCGTTCAAAGATGTCGAAGCTCAAAAAATTAGAGACGACGTCACTATTCAAGTATGTCGAACAGAAATATTCTCTCTAAGTTTCTAATGTAACTGCAAGTACTTTCTATGTAATTTTCAGATATTCAACGAGCCACTTGTAAGAGAAACATGCTCGAGCAGCGAGTCCCTTACATCTTGTTTCGTAGTGAGGGCGCACAGAAAGGTCCGCGCCAGATTGAAAAAGAAGCAGGCTCCTAGCGAGAAGGATTCCGATTCATCATGTTCGATCGCTGATTCGTGGTCGACGGAGGAGGTCGACGAGGAGGAAGTAATACACGTAGAAATGGACGACGAACGCGAAGAACTACTAGCGAGGGATCGAAGGGATAAGGAGAAACGGGGTCGTATAAATAGAATCGTCGGCGCGGTCGCGAGAATTCCTTGGCTGGGCAAAGGAGAGGTACCGACTACTCTGAATCCTTCATTCCTTATCTTCCATCGATGTTTATTCACCCTAGAACTCTGAATTTTGTGGTATAGTAGTAAAAGATCGCTTGGTTGGTCTCCATGTAGAACACAAAAATTAGCCAGAGAAATGGAAATTTAATATAAATTAAACGGTGTTTAGTTGTGAACATTTATATTAATAGGATGATAGGAAAGTCTGCAAGGGACTGCAAACGAGACGACCATCCTTGATGGACAGGATCGTCGGCATGCTTCAGAGGAAGCAAAAGACACCGATACAGACGTACAAGAGGACCAGGAAAATAAAAGAGTCCTCGTCATCTTCTTCGTCCTCGTGTTCCGATGAAAATGAGACTCTTCTCAGAGCTAAAGACAAATCATCTGACGCTAGACACCTGACAAGGAGAAAATTCAGAAGACGAATGCTAGAGGACGAGTCTGATGAGACAGGAAATTTCGATTTTAATCATCCTCGCGAGAAGAAATTCGCCACGAAAGAATTACCGAAGTAAATTAGTCAATTTCGCAAGTCTTTCAGATATTACTGTTTAATGGAATTGTTTATTAGGTATTTGGAGTCAGCTGTGAGGTGCACGTCCTATTACGAGGTAGACGAAACCGAAGATTCGCGGTCAGCAGGGAAATGTGTGCGGCAAGTGGAAGATGTCAACGAATCGTCGGACATTAAGTCAGTCATTGATCGAGGACAGAGATATGCGTGGAACATAAGAGAAGACGATGAATTGGTGATGATATTTTACACTAATTTATGAATTGAACTGCAAGGTGCACCTTCACTTTGTGAGAAGTTACTTTTATTTATTGAATTATGTTCACAGCCTCCTTGTTCTTGTACGTCGAACATCACACAAGACACAGTAGAAGACTTTTATTCACTAGGAATGAGCACTATGTCCGAACAGACGGATACTTCGAAGACGGTCACTGGTACGGAGACTGAGAAAATGTCCTCGGTTACTAAAAGCGACACAGAATACACTGAGGAGACGGAATCATCGTCGATAGTTACGGGAAAAAGAGAAGCAAAGGATGTATTTGATGATTCTTCAGATTTCGAGGACGTGGAAGATGCGAAGGGAGATAGAGATGTGAGCGGAAGTACTCAGGAGGAAAGTGAGATGAAGGATGCATCTATGAGGGAAGATAAAAGGTCAACAGTTCGCAAGGAAACTAAAAAAGTACCAGCATCCATGAAAGAAGGTAGCAAATCAGCGGATCATAAAGAAATTAAGAAAGCGTCACTGTCAGTGAAGGAAGACAGGAAGAAATCTGTGACAGAGGAACGAGCTAGAGGAATTCTTACGCCTGCCAAGGAAGTTACAAAGACTTTAAGGTCAGAGAAACGAGGTGAACAAGATTCTATGCGTGCCCCAATACACGATCCCTTGGCAGACGTAGAATTATATGATGCTGACCATAAATCGAAGAAGAAAGGTAAACTTGAACGAGAAGCAGGTGGCGGAGATGAAATTATTGAAGCGAAGGATGAAGAAGTCAGAGTAGAAGATACGGAGAAAGCTTCTAAAGATCAGAGTATTAAACGGAAGTCTGCTAAAAGTGAGAAGGAAGGGAAAGTGGTTGCGAAATTCAAAGGACTATATTTGAAGGGAAAAACCGCAGAATCTGCGGAGAAGAAATTAAAACCTCAAGTGGAAGATCGTAAAGAAACATCTGTAGAAGGCAAAGGTAAAAAGAGAAAGATGTCTGATAAGTTTAAAGTCCTATATTCGAAAGGGAAAGCTGCAAGGCGTAATAAGGAGGAAATGGGAGAAAAATCTGGAGAACTAAAAGAGAGTATTCCGAAAGGCAATGATAAGAAAAGTAAAATGATTGATAAGTTTAAAACACTGTATTCGAAAGCAAAATCTGCGCAGTCTGATAAAAAAGAGGAAGAGGGAGGGGATATTGAAGTACAAGATGTAAAAGAAGTATCTGAAGACGATACTGAAAGGGAAGAAGAAGCAGAGCAACCAGAGTCGCAGGATTTAAAGACAAAAGATAGGAAATCTGATGACAAGGAAGTAGAAAAGAAAGAAACACCTGAAGTGCCAGATCAAAAAGAAGAATCCATGGAAGATACCGATGAAAGAGAAGAAGTTACTGAGGAATCTAGGTTAGAGGACACGGAAGAACAAGCGACAGATGATACGGAAAAGAAAGAGTTCATCGATGTAAAAGCTGAAGCATTAAAGGTCGATAAAGCGACTGATCTACCTGACAGAAGCAGGCATACACAGACGAGAGACAAACGTTTTAGTATAATTACTGAACCAATCGCTAAAGTCCAAGAAATCGAGGATCCCGAGAAAGAAAAGGGAAAGAAAAGAAAGTGCCCCGAGAAGAAGGAACGAAGGAAGAGGTATAACAATTATAATTCGGTTCTGAAGTGTATAAAAATTACAGATCTCTTTCAGATGCAAGGAAGACAAATCTCCGAGACGAAGAAAATGGCGTTATTTAGAGAAAGTTGAAATACCATACGAAGAACGTAGATGTAAACCAAAGTACTCGAGGGACAGAGAATATAAAGGTGTTTCAGAAGATTTAAGTGGAAAGAGAAGAAAACTTTGTAAACCAGAGAAATCTTTTCGATATGGCGAAGAAGATCCACAGATTTGCCAGAGACAGTTTGCAGAGCCTTTTGAATGTTCCTGTGGAATGGATTACTATGAACGACACGTTTGTCAGCCTGCAATTGTCAATCAAAGGTGTTCTCCTAAATTAACAACAAAAAATACTTGCTATTTTAAGGCTTCAATTAATTAAATATTATATTTCAGGGTCTGCCATTGTCATCCACGAAACTATGAACTCCATGTTTGTCAGAGACCACATTCGGAACCTCATAGCAACGTCTACGGACCTTCACTGGATCATCCAGAGGAATTGGAGCAAAGATTCCAAATGCCTAAACTAAAAAAATATTTGCCAATGTACCAGAATCCAGAATTGATCGAGGAATTGAAGGCACACGATCGAATGAGATTAATTCGGGAGAGAGAAGCGATGAATCGAAGACTCGAGAGTCCTCCGCGATCTCCCGGTCCTGTTTCAGTTCGCCCTAAAATGGCGGCCAGAACAGTGTGTCATTTTCCAGGAACCGTGAGTATTAACCTATTAACGTCTTATTAATTTTAACTCGTTCCTAATTAAGTGTTCATAGTGGGACAGTATCAAGTAATCCATTCACATGTATAAAAATTGTAAAAATCTTTCATTTTAAGAGCAAATCGACCGGCAAAGACGATAGACTCGCTTATCAAGAGACACAGGCTTATAAGAACGTGTTACGTGAATTTCAAAAACGCACAAGTTGCGGGAAACTCAAGGAAACCATACCGCTGATACATTTATCGAAGAAAGCGGACAGAACGAAGCGTGTGAAGCAGTTGTATCCGCCTGAAAAGAGATCTGATAAGGCGAGAAGGTTCGCGGACCGAGTAATTGGATCGTTTAAGGTAGCGCGAGATTGTAAATAGAAAAATTAATTATCGGAGGCGCGTGCATTGCGTAATAATTAACATTCACGTGTAGCCGATCGCGTGCAAGAAGCATAAACGCAAGAACACGCGGAATTTATCGTTCGAGCGAATGGATTATTCCTTTGATCCAGAACTATTGAGCAACGTGTCTTGCAATTGCTCTTCCGCCGGAGAAACGACTGATAATGACGAGTCTTTGCAGTGAGGGAGTGAAAATGTTTGAAACTTGTTGCGTTAACGTGTCTGTTGTACAATTGATAGTAATACTAACAATAATAACTTTATAACATTATATAAAAGAAAGATGTAACATCTACTTGTTCCTTCTCGTAGAATTTGTATTAGAATCATGTCAATCGTTATCGAAATATTTCGTAGAAATATTGAAAATCTCGAAAAATCTTTGAAATTTGTAAATAGCAGCCATTAGCTCGGTATGATCCTCGATATCGAATACTTTATCGAGGGTAATACCGATTGCCCAGGTCTCACCACGTGGAGGTTGCTGCGAAGAGACCCATCGATCAACAGAGCGTCGATTGTTTCAAGTCTTCAAAGTTATCGAAATGTATAACCTTTAGACAGAATGTGTGAAATAAAAAGTTAATAATTATGCAACTGATATGAGAATGAAATAACACATATTCAATACTCCCCGGACCTCAATATGGTTAATAAATTGTTAAATGAAGGTAGCTAAAGTTAGCGGAGCATGATACAATTGTGGTTTAGAAACGTTATTGATACTCGACGTTAAAGTATCGAAAAATTCGGAATTAAGAGTACTTTGACTTCGAACTTTGGCGATGTCGACTGCAACGCACTTAGATTCGGTTAAAGATATTATAGAAAGTTCCTTGCCAATCGGGAAAACAAGGTTAAGCAAAGACAGGAGGAAAAGGAAAAAGCAGATAAGTATTCTCCAAAGAGTTTAAGATTTTTGTGAGACTGAAATGGTGCTTGCGGCGTTGTTCAGTACCAAAAAACCAAAAACTGATCCTGAAGAACCTCCCGAGGTAACCAAAGATCCTCCGTCCCCTGATCCTACGGAAGAAGTCCCAAGAATTAGCAATTCGAACGTTGTCTATCCATTCCACGATGTTAAAGCTACCAGTTTCCCTCCTCCTCTTTCCATCGACGCATCTGTGTACACGGAAGCTCGAAATCTACTCACAGAGGAGACCGAGATTGCCAGAGAGCAATCTCCTATCAGCAAGAATGTCAAAAGTAGAGGAGATTCAATTGTGGATGAGAGAAATGAAATCGAGCCGTGTGACTGGAAGACTTGTCCAAAAGACAGCTCCAGCCTTAAAACACGCGAAAAATCTACGGAAAAGCAGGATGAGACGAAGGATAGGATCAGCCACGACAGGCTGAAGGAAATGATCAACGTGTCGATCAAGGAAGCGATGCAGATTGTTGCGAAGCAGTGTAGAATGGTACCTAAGAAGCAAGTATCCAAGATACTTAAGTTCGCGTCTATTCAGCTTCTCGATAACTGTATCATTTTAAAAAGTAGTCAAACTTCATTCACTCTGTCAGTTAAGTAACTCTATGCTAGATATTCGTATTGGTAGTACATTCTATTATTTCCAGAAACAGGATGATGCAGAAGAGGATCCCGAAAAGAAGCCAAAACAGGCTTCTGCTAAATCCATATGTCATAAGGAAGGAACTTCAGGGAAAACTAAACACGACAGGCCACGTTCCGCTGAGGAATACTTCACTGCTCGTTCGAGACTCAGGAATGCTCAGAGATGTAATCGTCCTCAGGAAAAGAGCAACATTTCTCGCACGTGTCCAAGAAAGTTGCAGGAAGAGACCAAGAGTCACTACAAAAAGGTACCGTGCGAAGACACCAGAAGCAAAAGGCATTCAAAATCAGCGAGCAATGGGAAGACCGACAATCGTCGGATGACAGGGAACGTGAACATCTATATTTGCTCTGAAGCCACTGAGAATGCTCAAGTAAGAGTGTTTAATTATGAACTCTATCTAATTGCGTAGAAAAATATTGTTATTAAGAAGATTCGATAATTCTGCAGCCAGCAAACAAACAGAAGAAACCTCAACCATGCGCTGAGTCGAGTTCAGAGACGACGACGGAGCCTTCGAAGGTCTCGTCGAGTAAACTCGTGACACGAATCCGCAGCAAACGACGGAAACGGAAGGAGCAAGAGTCCTCTGATTTCCTGAGGAGCACAGAGGACAGCAGTGAACTCAGCAATCCCTGCAGTTGTGATTCAAAGTTCTCGAACATCGTTGCTGACTCTGAAAGCAGCGTCTGTGCGCAGCAGACTGACTCTACTTCGACAGATTGCCAGTGCAAGGATGACGAAACGAAATCGGATCAATCTATATGTAGACCGACGTACGTCATCTGCGACAAAGTTCAGGAACCTTGCTCCACGATCTATCCATCGAAGAAGTCGCCGATCTCTGACAGCGAGGAATGGTCTTCGAAATCAAATTACAGCGGAGAGACTGTCTTGTGCGATCAGAGTCGCAAAAATGATTGGCCCTTTGGATCTAAGTCTCCTTGTAACGAATACAACTTGGAAGGCTCGAAACGAGATCAGGATTCTGGGGAAGATGTTTGTAGGTAGGGCTGGAGTTAAGTTCAACGTGCATTTATAAATTAGATTCGGTAATCTTGCTTGTTTATCTTTAATTTGATTCAGCTTATTTCTGGTTGTAGGACGAATGACGAAAAGGAGGTTTGCAAATGCAGCGAGGGCAGCTTCAGAAGCAAGAGGAGACTTTCCAGGACTATGCAGAGGGAACCGTGGTCCACGTGCAGTTGCATCGTGGAGGAAGAAGAGGAGGGAGTCTGCGTCACAGCGAAAGATACTCCTGAGATTACAGTGTGTCAACAACCAACAGAACACGCTGAGGAAGAAATTACTGTTTGTCAGAGGGACTCAAAGAAAGATCGCTTAGAGGAGAATTCAGATGTTTCAACTAGGGACAGAATAGTTTCAGGAGATGAAGGAAAAGGCTCGAAGGAAGAGCAAGCCGATGTGGATTTGAAATTAGGGCGAGCGGCGGTGGATGAACAAAAAGAGAACGGAGATGCTTCCGCTTCTAAAAAGTTATTGAGACCCGAGACTCTAGCACTGCGGCAACTTCTGCAGCAAAGTAAGCCAATTACGCACACTGTCGAGCAGAAAAGCATTGTCTCGACTCCAGCGAAAAACGATGATACAGAACAATTGAACGGAGAATCGCCTATCGTGAAAGCATCGGAGATAACTGTGCCACCATATTTAAAGAAGTTTAATATCCGTGAAAGGGATAGATTCATGAAGCATTTGACCTCTGAACGGAATCAAAAAGATGAAGAAGAATCTAAGGAAGCCAAAGCTGTTGAAGAGGCAGCAGAGAAGAAAATGGAAGACAACGCAGATGGAAAAGATACGGAGCAGAGAGAGAGTTTTCCGGGAAGGCTGAGGAACTCGTTGTTCAAGACCTTTAGGAAAGTGACAGGCAAGGAGAGAGATAAGATCACCGACGATTCTGATCACATCAACGATAAGAAGACAGAGATTTCTGAAGAAGTTGTCGAAGATCAATCGGCGAAGCCCGAGAATGAAGCGCAGGGGACGCAAAAGGAGAAGAGGATGTCTTTGGTTCAAAGGCTGGATATAAATAAATTTTTTAAGAAGAGGGAAAAACCAGGGATCAATAATTCGAAGAATACGGAGCTAGGAAAAAATAATGAAAATTCTATTGTAGTTGATACACTGTCTAAATCTAATATGAATATTGAAATTAAAGACGACGCAAAGAAAGAGGAAAACATGGAGGAGGTGGTTGCTGACGTCGCTGAAGTGAGAAAAGACAAATCGTTAACTAATATTGCTATCAAGAATCTTGCTTCTAATCCTCCAAGTACTAACGTCGAAGAACCAAAAAAAACCATATCTCAAGAGCTCCCAAAAATGTTGAGTTCCCAAGGTATTATTAAAAAGGACAGTCCTCCTGTTCGAGGATTAAAGCCAAAGGAACAAAAGGACATCGGGAATCAAGAAAAGAAGAAGCCGGATGTGTCAAAGCCCAAAGTTCAAAAAGAGAAAGCTGCAAAAACGAGAGACACCGAGGAGTGCATAACTCTGAAGAAGGATTCAGCGACAGTCTGCACGCAATGCACTCGACAAAAACTACCAACGAAAGAGCCAAGGCAGCGAGAAGCTTCTCGATGCGTGTCCCGAGAAATCGAACCACAGACAGTGTGCACGAACTTAATCTTCCCAGTACGCACTAACGAGGAAAAGGAAAGAGCAGGAGACAGCAGATGCAATTGCCGTTGCCTGCCACCGTCGCCGAGATGCAGCAGAGTCAGTAATTACCCAAAAAGTTGCTTAAAGAAGGAGAGGCAATTTTATCGAATGGATTCTCAGGAAATCCCTGCTTCGTGCCAAGACAATAGAAGCTGGGAAGAATGCGGTTGCAGGAGGATAGTCTTCTGCGAAAATTGCTGCAGGCCGAGGAATGAGTGCAGGTGAAGTGATATCGGCGGAAGTGAAGCTACTTTTCTAAGTTAATGCTTCGTATCGTAACTTCCTGCTGAGCCTTTCTCTAACCTTCTTCGTCTTTCACCGATTTAATTCCACTGGAATATCTAGATCATCCTCTCTTTTCACGTTCACGACGAATTACAGGGATTCTAATCGCAATATTTCAGCTGCAGACCAGTGGTCCCTTGCGCGACCTGTTGCAAGCCGAAGCTCGAGTGCGTCTGCAACGCGGTGTGCACCTCCAGCAATCATTACAGACACTTGAAGTCAATGGTCTGTCTCTACTGCGACAGACCTCGGGATAGTTGCGCATGCAGGTCACCGATGCGAAAGTGCTCGTGCTGCGAGTTAGCCGTGGATCTGTGCCGCTGCGATGAAAACCGGGAAACGTTCCGCGACGGAAGACAGGTCCCCACCGAGCCCGATAACGATCGCACCATGTACGTAACCGCGTGGAAGCCCAGGGAGGACGTTCGGCGTTACTTCTCGAGGAACCTCGAGGATCTCGGCCGCGACGCGATCAATGAGTGCCGCTGCCACGAGAAGCTGAAGGCGCAGAACTCCGATGACCTCCCTTATCAACGGCTCAGCTGCTTCTCGGACGTAATGAACGAGCTGCAGCAGAAGATGAGCGAGTCCGTGTGCTGCACACAGTGCCGGAAGATCCCCTGTTGCTGCGGCGTCAAGGTCGACGAGGGAAGGGACGAGAGAAAGATCAAGTATTGCGTTAGGTGTGTAAGCTTATAAAATGCAGCTGATTCATGGCAAGAATTACCTCGCGATTCTATCTTCGATCGGGATCCTCGGATTACGCGTTCGAAAGCCGTCTCGAAAGGGTTGCGCACTGATTCTCAGAATTCAGATTTTACACTTGTTTTGAATCCTGTGAATTATCAGTCCGAAATCAAGGCGCAAAGTGGTGGCGGTATGCGTGGAGAAGCCGAGGAGCAAATCTCCGACGATCTGCAAGTGCGATCCGCAATCGAGAGGCGACAGACAGAAGAAGATAGTGGTCTGCTGCCACTGCAAATCGTCCCCGTGCAGATGCAAGAGGACGCCGAAGCCGAAGAAGCCGAGGATGAAGTGCTACTACTGCAAGAACTCTCCCTGCGTGTAAGTTTACGATCCCGATGATCGGCCAATAAAAAATCAAAGTCGCTCGGGACCCGCTCGAAGTTAACGAGGCCAAGCTCCGTCGTTAACCGAGCCGAACGTAGAACTGGTACATCCAGTTGATGATTTTTTTCTTTCCTGGTGTACTACAGCTGCATTGCGAGCAGAGAACGCGGCAAGCCGAGGCCGTGCAGGTGCGCTGATTCACCTTGCCGCGCGAAAGAAAAGGAAATCACTGTGTGCGGAAAAACATCCACGAAACCGAAGAACAACGAGGAGAAGATCGTTTGTGTCCGTTAACGGGACACCTGCGATTAGGAGCGTATCCTTGTCACAAGCCAGTCAAGGCTTTGCCAAACGAAAAACAAAGAACTTGGCTTAACTGAACGAAAGCTTTCCGCTCCCGTAGAGAGAATGTTTTGTTGACCGTCGTCGTCGTTGTTATTGTTGTTGTTTTTGTGGAAATATTACAGACACTCCGTAAGTGTAGCTTCGATAACGATATTATGAAAGTGTTACATTTGTGTTCGTCTCACGTGGTAGAGCGAGAAATAGTTGAACGGCAGTCAGCTACTCCATCGTATATCATTTTTGTGACGACAAACAACGACGCCCGATAAAGAAACCGGGCTTCACGAGATCAGTGAGGGAGACGAATAAGAGCACGAGAATGATTCTCGAAGTTCTAAAATATCGGGATTAATACGAGAACAAAAACAAACTCTCAGAAACCTGTCAGAGGGTTAGTCCTGCGTTCTCGTGCCCCAAGGTTAACGCTGCTCGCGTTGATCAATCGTACAATAATTATTTCATTTATGGGAATAATATTATCGCACAATTAACAATCTCGAGTACCATTTATACGAACGTTCACGGTCAATCCAGTATCCGACGCGAAGATAAATTCCAGGCTCGATTAATCGCGTAATTGACGAGTTAGTTAACCCCTGATCGGCCGAGGTGGACGACAGAAAAACAAAAATAAAACAGGGTCAGCGATAGCGCTGTCCGTAAAAATGGTCGTTCAGAAAAGTCGTGCTCGTGGACGAAATGTTTGAAACTGCCCGACAGATCTCTGGCGGGAGTAGGGGCTCGTATCTTAGGCCTCGTATAAGACGCTGTCTCCCCTGTTTTACTAGACCGGTACGAGCCGTAGACCGGCAACGTGTTCCTCCATCGTGAATCGCGCGTTCGCTTTCAAACACCTCCGCGTCCGTTCCTCCATTCATCCCGAAACTTTCAACCACCGACCGTCTGCCGTTCTTCCGCGCGTCCATTCATCGCCACCATTCTTAAAGTTTGTACACGTGGCCCGATAGTTTGCGCGTAATAGACTATAAGTGACGAAACTGAAGATGCAAGTCTGTCCGGAGGATCCTGGTTTACATTGCGTTCCCAGCGGCAAACACTGGGATCAAAGGAGCACCAACCAAAGGAAGAAACCCTCGACGCTCCGCGAGCTCGTCGAAGCCCTCCACGAAGCCTTTAAGACCGACCACGTGAACATCGACGACGTTCAAGAGCTTATGGCGTCCTACCAGAGTAATCCTTCAGAATGGAAGAAATACGCGAAGTTTGACAGATACAGGTAACGCCGACAGAGATACGCCACCCCATAGAACTTTGCGATGGCTTACTCGCAGAGCGGGGAACTTGGAAAGTTCTCGGAGAACAATACGAACGAGTGTTTGAACTTTCTTACGCTCTTCGAATACATCTCGTCTCATTTGTAGAAGAAACACAACGTTACACGGTATCGTTTCATCCTCGGAACTAATGAGTTTTAGAAACCGTCTCGAATTTTCGAGTTGTAATTGTGCGCGCAATTAGAAGATACAAGGATCACGGTTAACAGTCCATTACATTCGATTCGCCGGTGTGTCTTCGAATAAGTGAAATCGATGAACAAGGTGCTTGCATTTCGAATAAACACGCGCAGCGTTCTCGATACTTCTACGGGTCTCGATTGCCACCGCTCGATGTATCGAACGTCTCGGAAAATATTTAATCGGTCTCGCCCGATGCAAACAAGAACGGCGTCCAGCTACGCCGGAATTGTGAAACAAGATTAATGCCACGAAGTTCACGATAGGTTATCGTTAGACCGGCGAAGTTTTATTGAACGAGTTCGCGAAACGATCGGTGCCGGCTGTTCCCGCGGCGTAGAGGAATTTAACAACCTTGCTGGGCCGCGCGCGGGTACGGGGGGGGTAAATGCAAACGACCTCAATGGGAAACGGTGACCGTAAAATCGCGCATGATCGGTCGTGCGTCGCGCGGGAATCGAGAAAAAGAATCGGCGGCGGGTGTCAACAGGCTTATCGTGCAGGAATCCCGTTACGAAAAATACCAGCGACACGCGCGCAATATGTAAGGGAAGTCCTGGAGCTCGGCTCGCGGTGTCAATCACGGGAACGATAACGCCGAAAGTTCAAGAATCGTTCCACTTGAGGACGTGAATAATGAGTTACACGATAATCTCCGTCGTAACTAATGATTCAACGTGTCCCGCGGTTTTACGCGTATAATTGAAAGCGAACGATAACGAGGGGAGAACAACTGGAGCATTTTCATTGAATGGGTTCCGTGAAATACGCTTCACCGATCGACCACGGCCGTCCCTTCCAAATTCGCGTTACTTAACTCGCTTTTTTGTTTCGGTCACGCGATAACTGAGATTGATCTAGAAAGGAAATCATTTCTAGAATTACAAACGTTACGGCTGCGCCGGGCGTAATGTGGAATTATGGTACGTAATTGCCGACGCGACCGATTTCCACACGACACGCGAAAGTATAGAGACCGCGGCGCGTGCAATTCTAGTGTGAAGTGGAACGTGTTGTAGCAACCGGAAGGGAAGACAATTATTTCGACTTAACCGAGATTTATGGACATCTTTGATCGATATCTATTTTACTATTCCCTCTCCGGTTATTTTATTTTCGTTCGATACATACGACTGAGGAATTTTAATTAATCGACTATTGCTTTGAGGGGATCGGCAGTTATCCTCTACTTTTTCTTTCGTTATTCAATGATGTACTAACGATAGACAAGATACTGATCGGCATCATTGCAATCTGAGCCTAAGTATGCGGAACACTTCAAAGTCTATGTGTATTGCACGCAAATCAGTGGTGTTTGTTCGGTGAACGGCTGGTTACCCACACTTTCCACGTTTGCCCCCTCGTCTGCCCCCCACTTTCGTTATGCACGAGCCAGAACATCAGTTATCCGACACGCGACACTTATCCGATCGAAAGCAATGATCAACCGGATCTTTTTCGCGCTGGTGGGAGAGGAATTTTCAAAATTCCTACGTGGATCATTGGTATTTTACGTTCTGATAGCTGAAGAAAGCATTCTTTAGCATTGTATCACCGTATGTAAGAACAATTCAGTGTCCTTACGTTGTTGCTGTCGATTAATTATGCAGTTTGGTGCAGCTAAATGTAACGCGCCATTAATCATCCCTGCTTAATCGAGTGACGAATGTACACAAACGAGAAGATAAATGAATCATTGTGTTCAGGTACACGAGAAACTTGGTCGACGAAGGAAACGGAAGGTTCAATCTTATGGTGTTGTGTTGGGGCGAAGGCCATGGATCAGCTATACACGATCACGCGGACGCGCATTGTATAATGAAGATTCTGCAGGGTGAACTTTGCGAGGTACCAAAAGTATTCTGACTATGGGAATTCATATCATTACGAATTACTTTGTAAACAATGCATTTATTAAGTGCATAGGATAAATAGTTTGTTTATAGCGAACACATCTTTGAGAATGATACCATTTTGTAGACACGATACGCGTGGCCCTCGAAAGCTGGAGTTAACAACGAGTCGAACGAACCAGAAGAACTGAAGGAATTGGATAGAACCACTCTCGATGTTAATGAAATATGCTACATAAATGGTAAATCGATACTACTAGAATTCGGAAAATAGTTCACAGTATCATGATACATCGATTCCACAGACTCAATGGGACTTCACCGTGTGGAGAACCCGAGTGCAGTGAATCCTGCTATCTCGCTACACCTATATTCGCCGCCATTTTCATCGTGTTCGGTCTTTAATAAGCAAACCGGCCAAAGAACCACGTGTAAAGTCACATTCTGGTCGAAGTACGGAGAGAAGAGAAGCCGAGTAAGATTTGATCTTTCTCCATGCAATTACACGAAGAAAAATAGAACGCTGAAACAGCTAATTGTTTGTTTAATTCGTAGGAAATTCAAGACGCCAGGTGTCCCGAAGACAATTAATGCAACGAAAATATTCGTCGCGACTGCAATTTGTTTTTTGAATCCTTAATGTGTTAAGCGAGACGAATGCAAAATTTTCAGACGATTTTAGTGTGTAATTGTGTAAAGTGTTTAGTACTTAAATATATTTATAAGGACATGCATGTTTATGCTGAAAGACGACGTTGCGGGGAATTTAAGGCGCCTTGTTATCTATACTGTGACTACAAAATAAAAAGCATTGTTTAGTGGAGATGGATCGACTGCAGTTAATTAACGCATTATCGTCCTATTTTAGTTAATCACTGATATTGATTAATGTTGATTAAACAATATTAAATTCCATAGACGACATTAGATTACATACCTCAGTGTATATTGTTTTCAACTGAAATTAATGTTTTCCATTGTATATTCTGTTAACAAGTATGAATTCAATTTAAATTTCCGTTAAAATTGCATATCTTTATAGTAAGTTTGTACGCAGTATGTGCCATTTGGCGCGAGATTTTATTGAATTTTCGTCTGCTACGGCCAATTTGATAATAAATTATTTTCTTCAAAACTGTTAAGTGTACATACAGAGTGTAATAATATGTATATATAAAACATCATAAATAAACGAATTATGACAAATTTATCACATGTGCAGCGCGTTAAAATGTTGTACAAGACAATTTTGAGGTTACACCGTGGTTTGCCAACAGAAATTCAGACTTTGGGTACGCCTTATGTACGAGATGAATTTAAGAGACATAAGAAATGCAATGAAACCGAAGCTGCTATTTTTATGAATGAATGGACAGTAAGTAATATTAATTATTTTAATCGAACAGATTCTTCAACGAAAAGTTAGGTTAGGTTTTCTTCAGTTTAGTTCGTCACTCAATGGAAATCATGTAAACTTTTGTCTCGAGAATTACTGTCTTTAAGTAATTTAATAGAAATAATATTTTTTATTATAGGAGTATGCATTAATGGTTGCTGAACAGCTTGGACTTAAAGGGCCACATACAGCTAAACCATTGGGTAAAGATCTGAATGAACAGGATTATGAAAAATTTAGAGAGGAACAGGTATATCAATTGTATGAGCTGATGGTTGCAGCAACTGGTAAAACAAATGAAAATACAGAGAATAAATAACTTAGTAGTGTCAATATTGCACAATATGTAACAATATTATTCTCAAAGAAATATTTGTAATACTCGTGTACATAAACTTTACTGAATATTTTACAATGAGACATTCGTTAACTAAAATTATGTAAAGTGAATTAATAGCTTATATTTATTTAATATAATAATAAAAGTAATGCTGTGGATATTCTCATAAATTAATTTCATAGAGAAATTTACATGTAACCTCCTTGCAACAGCCAGCAACAGAATAAATATGAATAATAAAGTAATATATATGTGTGAGAACGAACGAGTATCGCCACGTTGTTACTTTTTTATTATCTAATAAAAAAGTCTAATTCTAGAAAAAACTAAACAACTACTTATAAAGCCTTACAGGTCAAATTTTGTAAACAAGATTCTTAAACCTGTTGATTAGATTCGTTTAAAAAAACTGAATGACACATACAATCATTCGTTATCATCTAAGATCATTAAAATCGTATCGTAATTCGTCCAATCCAGTAGGTCCTCACATCCGTCCATAGAACGGTAACCTTAACATCTCATATTTTGCTAAATGTGATAGTAAATTTTACATCTTTACATACAATTGTACCTTTAAAACGAAAAGAATGAAAGCCTTTAAAGAATCTGCTAGTTTAATCTTAGCAGCGCGTCGCGCACAACAATATATACGTCAATCGTCACCTACAAACGTAAGTAATGCAATTTAATCACTTTTCTTTTAGTTATTTACAAACAAATATATCATAGTTATTTGAAACTATTATACGCATACATATGATGAAGCAATTCGATTAAAATATATATAATAAGTAAACTCGATATATCACAATTAAAAGACCATGACGTCACCTGTCGTGCTGACATTAAAAGAACGCGGAAAAATTCAATTGTTCGGGATTAACTCAAGAACGTGGGAAGTTACGTATACTTTCAGTATAATTACGATCTGCTGTCCCTAAAACGTCACCGGAACTCAAACTTTATGCCGAGCGCCTACGTATTCCCCGGAGGTGTAATCCATCCATCGGACACGGACCTTAAATGGCAAAATTTATTCTCCTCGTTCGGATTCGACAACAACAGCTTTGCCTCTTTGATACCCAATGCCGCAACGCGACCGCAGATCTTTAAACGACGATCGAACGAATTGCCTAGAGAAATTTCCCTAAGAATTAACGCAATTCGAGAGACTTTCGAAGAATGCGGTATACTGCTCTGCAACAGGATACAAAATGGCAGCAAGCGTTCTGATTGGGCGCAGCATCTTGAAAGTACCACGGTTATCGTAATAATTCGAATATTTAGTATGAAAATTTACCTGTCATTTAACTATAATATTATTGATATCTAGTGCCAGAAAATGAATTACACGAGTGGCAAGAGAAGGTACATCTCGATGCCACGAAATTTTATTCCATGTGTGAGAAATTTGAATGCTATCCTGATCTGTGGGCTCTTTATGAATGGAGCAATTGGCTGACACCCAGTTTTTTCCTCAATAGACGATATGATACGGTGTTTTATATGGCTTGTATGCAGAGCGTACCTCCGACCGTGTGCGAGTCAACGGAAATAGAAGACGTTAAAGTGAGAGATTACTTAATGTGTTAATAATATGATTTACCTAGGAAATATATGATTCATTTTTTTGTCCAATATAGTGGGATACACCTAGCAATCATCTATCGTCTACTTCCGTTAATACAGTACCGCCACCACAAGCGTACGAAATCACGAGAATAGCAAAGTTTGAAAGTATAGATGATTTGCTAGATTTTGCGGTTGATCGTACTAAAAAAGGCGTGCGGTTAACTTTTCCAGTAAGTAAGAGAATTATTACATTTCTACTAGAAACTGTAGAGTGATTTAATTAAATGTATATAATTAGATAAGGGTGAAGCTCCAAAATGGGAATGTGCATGTTCTGCCAGGGGATTCGATGTATCCAAAACTTGTGAGCTTATACGAGAAACAAGTAATCGACAGAACTGATATCACTATTGATGACTTTAAAAACATATCACCTATACTAAATAGAATCGAATTTATCACTGTTGAAGTAACAAATTTTATCGTTCAGAATTTCGATACTGAGGATGACAGTTTGTCACCAAAGAATTTAGATGTTCATATAAAATAGATACAGAAAAAAATAGAGCATATTTTTTCATGCCAGCGTGTATTAATTTTATTGTATAAATCTGACAATAAATCGACAATAATATATAATAAACGTCCATACGATGTTCTATTTTATACTCATTTACCTCTAATAATGGCGTATGCTTTTCTCGTATGTTTTTAAATAAGCGCGGGAAAAAAGCGCGCCAAACACAGTGAAGTTATTATGGCTGCTTAACTCTGGTGTGTGATCTTTAGTATTTTAACGTAGAATAAGTATTAAGAATGATTATTTACCGGAAATAAAATATCGTTTGGTAAGTGTATATGTTTTTTTCGCATGCCATAATTATATAATATAAATTTCTATTATTAATAGTTTTTAAAAAATAATGTAATAAAATGAAACTGCATATACTGTGTTCAACATATCCGAAGGTGAAGTATTACACTGTATATTCAATTTCCTTTAGAAAATGGAGTACACTAAACGAAGACGATATACAGTCAATGCTGAGGCAAATGATCTCCAAGAGATTTATAACCATGATCTACAAATGTATGACTTTCCTCCAAGTGGTGAAATTCCATTTGTGGAGTTTCAACAGTTGGGTATGGAAAGATTAAAATGTAAGTGTCCACTTAATAGGGAATTAACAATTGAAGTTAATTAATGAATGCGATTAGAATAAGTTTACTGAAGAAAGATGTGATTCTTTGTAGTATTACAACATGTAGAAAATACTGCAGTAAGAACAGATTTAAAGATACCAGAGGAACGTAAACAAAATCTCAGTACAGCTTTAGGGAAAGATGGGCTTAAATATTTTGTACATCTTTTATATGGAAAAGGGTGCAAGTCGCCAACAGAAACAGATTTACAATGTAGAAAAAAAGATCATTTTTCCCATTATATAATGAGATTGTCATATTGTCAAGAACCAGATCGTCAGATGTGGTTTATTAATCAGGAGGTAGAATTGTTTAAATTGAGATTTAGTTCATTAGATCCAACAGGAGTATTGAAATTGCTTAGCATTCATAACATTGAATGCCAACAAGTAAGAGATAAATTAATGGAATAAAGTTGACCCATTGAATGGTTAATGATATAACTGGCATACATTTTATTACACAGATTACTCGAGAAGAAAAAGATGAACTTAGGGAAGAGCTTCATTCATCTACATCAAAAGTTTCAAATATTGACACATCTGAATTTTATAAAGTACCTTTTCAAAAGGTCATTGACCTAATTAGATCACGTAGAGTATATGTAGCAAATGGAATAGCATACATTCCCCAAATAGATTTAGTCTCTTTATTTGTTTCTTATTTTAGAAAATCCTTGATTGATGGTATGGAGGTAAGTGTTCTGTTACATACATTATATAATTAAAAGTAAGTCCTTCAAAATCTATTAAATGCATTGTATTACACAGTATGCAAAGAATTATCTTGTAAATATATCCGATGATGAAAGATTAATGTCTTTCCTCAAATCTCTGCCTGGTTCTTTTTCTGGTATGACTCGTGTTGTTTGGACAACCAATAATACACCCGTAGATAAACTGGACGAGGTAATTCATTTATTCCACAAAGTTTTGCTTTTGTGTAATGCAAGATAATTTTTAGTTATCGAAAACATCCTATCCTTTGTGTATGAGAACATTACATGAAGCACTTAGGACTCATCATCATCTTAGAAATAGTGGGCGTATTCAGTACGGTTTATTCATAAAAGGTATAGGGGTAACAATGGAAGATACACTGCGTTTTTGGAGAACGGAGTTCACAAAAAAAATAGATCCAGACAAATTTGAAAAACAATACTCATATACGGTACGACACATGTTTGGTAAAGAGGGTAAACAAACGAATTACACTCCTCTGGGATGTACAAAAATTATAACATCGTCAGTAGGCCCTGGGGACTATCATGGTTGCCCGTACAGGCACATGGATACTGAATCGTTAAGACAAAAATTGTGTAGTTACGGTATACCCGCAACAAATATTAATGAAATAGCAGATCTATCGAAACATGGCCATTATCTTATTGCTTGCACCAAATACTTCGAAGTTTTACATACTCGCTTACCGGACAAGCCTATTATTCATCCTAATGGATACTTTGTAGAGAGTAGAGCCATATTGGCCAAAGATGAATCTACAGGTGAAAATCTAAAATGTCGCTTATCGACTCGAACTGTAGCGGTTAAATAAATAAATAAAATTACCTCTCCTTGTCTTGTAGAACACGATAGCCAAGAAAAATTCTCACAAAGTGGAAGATTCAGCGAGAGATTAGTGAGTAACACTCCCACGAGACGAGACCGAAACATCGCTACCCCGTCGAGGAATATCGATAGATCGATCGGTACGCCTTCGAGAATCGCAGACAAAAGTGGTAGTGGTACACCGCTAAGGAAAGTGGAAAGGACCAGCATGACACCGTCCAGGGCAACGAGAGCTACTCCGAAAAGACTAGATACTCTTGAAATTGATGAAATTACTGCCCAGTTAATGTGTGAAGACATGTAAATGAAAATAAGGATACCCTAGCAATTTTTGTAATCACGAATTTATTGTAAAATAAATAATATTTTTATAACTTGTCTACTCCAAGAGCGTCATTTCCTAAACGTTGTCGCATTATACGTAGCTATTGACCTCTTTCAATGCCTTTTTCGATAAAAAGTTCGCCTTCACGTCGCGTATCATTGACTCCACTAGTCTCTCTAAATTGTACTTGTGCCGCCACCCCCAATCCCGTCGCGCTTCGCTATCGTCGAACACTTGCGGCCAATTTTCAGCTAAAATTCAAGCGACAAAAACAGCTTCAGATAAATATATTATTATAAAACTATCAATCACTGACCGATGCATTGTCGTCCATCCGGTTTATACGTAATCTTTAAATCGGGAACGTGTTTCTTAAGCTCGCTGAACAGTTCTTCCGGCGTGAAGCTCATCGCGGTGACATTATAAACTCGTCTCTGCAATTTTTCGTTCGGAGTGTTCAAGAATTGAAACAACGCTGACAGACAATCCTCTATGTACATCATCGGCAGCCTAGTGTAAGGCTCCAAATAACACTCGTATCTTTTGGCAGTTAATCCCTCGTGGAACACCGCTACGGCGTAATCTGAAAGTCTCGTGTTTATTAATGAGTTTCTCCTGGAAATGTTCTACTCTGTACAATCTCATTCATAATTCCATGCAGTTACTCTTGGATTTACGCATCAGGAGATAACGGAAACGCAAGGAACGATCTCACGGCTCATGATCAAGAGACACTCAACAATTTACTAATACTATTGTCCTTGAGGAGCGATGGATTGCACTATTATGCAGTTACCCTAATCATGCCCGGGAACGTGCTCTACTTCGTGCCCCAAGGAGTTGGCTTTACAATAAAATTCGAACCGTTAACGACAACAAGAATAGAGGAAAATACATTCTTCATTACACAGTAAAAAAAAGAATAGATGACGAGTACCTGTGGTTCCACCACCGGGTGGGTCGCTGCTGATGACCCCCGGAAATCGAAGACACCGGAAGTCAAGACCGAATCTATGGTGATAGTACTCGCCCAATAGCTCGGCGTGTACTTTACTGACACCATAAATTGTCCTGGGCCTTTGGACAGTGACATTCGGGGTGGGATTCCTCGGTGAATCGGGACCGAACGCACCGATGGTCGACGGAATGAATATCCTCAGCTTGTACTGTTTCGCCAGCTCGATCACATTGTGCATACCTAACGAAAAATTACCTTCTCAACGACGATGAAACCACTTTGTATTACACGAAGAATTTCACTAACGAGGGCCAAAGGAAAAATCCACTTTCCCCGAGGCACTTTCCTATTCGTGCCGCGGTAACAATATAATTATTATCGTAACGACGAATTCGCTCGCCACTGCGTTCCATTTTACTCGAGCGCGGTCTTCGAAGGTAATGCGAGTGCTTCTAGAAATGTCCCAGAACGTTCGCGAAATTGTCATTTTTACCTTCTATGTTAACTCTCACTGCGAGAGGGACGTTTTGCTCGCCGATAGCGCTGAGGAGAGCGCTGAAGTGTATCAACCAATCGATCCTGTAGTCCACCACGATCTTCTGGAGGCCCTTGAAGTCGAGAATGTCGGCGAAGATGAAGGGACCGGATGATAGACTCTCCTCGGTCGGTTTGATTATGTCGGAGAGTATCACGTTCTCGTTGCCATAATTTTTTCGGAGCAGTTTCGCGCACTCGGTGCCTAACTGCCCGAGACCACCTGGTGAGAATGTATGCGTAGAAATCAATGCAAAAAGCACTAGTTATCATGAATGATAATTTGCAAGTAAAATGAATCATTTTAAACAGTGTACCGCCATCGTTGAGTCATATCTTTGCGCGATAAAAAAAGTGGAAACGGCAAGAGAATTCTTACTATTCATGTTCAATTATTAAAAGACTACAGCTGACTTTGTAATAGAGATTGCAATTGTTTTTTTACATACCAGTAATCAATATCCTCGGCGGTTTCTTCACTGTGTCCAAGGTATTATCTTTATTTTCTTTAAGATTTTGGGAAGAAAAAGTACTACTAACGTGGAAATCTCTTAAAATGCTCGTCGACAAACGTCGGGGGGTATCTAAGAACTTCCGGCACCACATTGCAACGGAAAGATGCTGGTAATTGTTTGTCACGATATCGCTAAGAGATCAACGTGTCTTTTCTAGTCGAGGTGTCGATAAACAACTGGCGTAGGCACACTTGATTGTACGATATTATAGCTTAGTTCATTCTGAAAACCAGTTAGAACACAGATTTCCTTCATTCCCGTGTGTCTGTGAGACACTAGGTGCTGGACCTTCAGCGCAATGATGAATGTATCTAAAGAAAACATTCTGTAGACTTACATGCAGACGGAATAATTTATTGAATAATTATTGTAATTCTTGACTGATTAGATTCCTCGCGTTAAATACAGTAATAGGCGTAGTGAATATGTATATTATATTCGCGAAATACGTAAAAAATGAAAGAATATTTGCTGTAATTGAAATCTTATTTATTCAATACGATTACGATGCTGCTTTTATAACGAATCTCAGAAATTGAAATAATGTAGTTACATTTTTGTGACTTTCAAAAATTCGGCTCAAGCATCCAGACAGTCTCGAAGGTTTAGAACCGGTTATCGTCGAATACTTTGTTTTCATTCTACCATGCGAAACAACTTCAGTGTAGAACGAATGTTGAAAGGGGCCTCGAAATTTTACAAAAATTCACCCAGAGTGCAACAAAGCAACGTTCGTCTGGATGTCCACAACCCAAAGGATTCCTAATTTAATGAAACTTGTTAAGATTTAACAGTTTGCATTGCAAGTACCGTTGCCGGCTACCGTACATTTTCCACATCTCGCAAAAAGCGGATAAAGAAAGACGGAACTCGTGTCATCTGGACTGGAACCCATTTAACTGCACGTTCCTAAGAAAATCATGGGAATCGTCGTTGTCTCCAGCCAAAGAAACTGTAAATAATTTTACAAGACAAATCTCAGTATTACAAAATGAAATTCGAGGAAACAGGACTCCGGTATAAAAATGTAGCACAGGCCTCAACGTGCTGCTCGCACGAAGGCTTTGCGAATTTTACGGCCACCGACTGTAATTATTTTGACAACCACGAAACACAAAGGTTCGGGCATGGCGGAACGACAAATTCGAAAATTGTCACCATCGCCGAATTATTCGGACGCGAAGATTCGGTGGAAAGGGAAGAATTTCCTGGAAGCGTGCCTTCACGGTAGCTGGACACAGCACTTCGCAATTCTCTTTTCGTCCCGCTCGCCATCGCCCACGCCACAGTCATCTTCTCCCCTCGACTTTGTGCATCAGCACGCTTTGCACAAAAGTTCTTCGTGTAGTTAGTCCGTGCCTGTCCGTAACGAGAGCACCGAGGCTCTTGCTTTTCCGTAACGTGTACGAAACGTGTTGCTCCCTGGTTTGTGAACAAACAGTGTTTCACGATCCCTTAGCTCGAGGAAGTGTCGCATCTCCAACGATCGCGGTACCTTCGATTCAGCCGAAATCAACGCGTCGCATTATTTCATCGAGGAGTAACTCGGAACCGTCGACAAGTACCGCGAGCTCGAAGGTAGGGGTGACTTTAAGCGTAAAGAGGGTGGCGATCTCGCGAGTTTCATAGTTTTCGAGATTAAATAAAGAATATTTCGCGTTCGATCGATCCCGTTCGTGTTCCTTTGAAAGGTATTCGACTTCATATCGAAGTTGCATAATTCCGTGACGCCTGGTGGGGTTCTGTACGAACGATAGTCACGGAGGAAAACTGAGGAAGTATATGTCACTTTCACTGGGATCATACGCGATCGTTGCGGTTCGATCGTGGCCGCTCGCGACGACGATGACAATGGAGATTGTCGCTGCACCTGTATCATTTGTTCGCGTCGTGAATGCGATGATGAATCGCATCACTGAATCGGCTCGAATCACGCGACGATCCGGGAAACGCGATTGATTACGATTGTAACGCAATTGGGGTTACCCTTACAGTTGGTCGAACGATGAGAAACGATTTTGTAACAATCAGACGGATCAGTTCAGCGCGATGCAAATGCAGTCACGTGAGTGCAGCGACCTGTATTCTCGCCACCTGACGCGCTCCTTTAAATTTACGGTAGCATTTCGATTGTAGACGCGCGATACTTGAAATCTTCGTTTCCTTTTTTACTAATGGTCACTTGCTATCGGCATTCTTCATGTTCGGCTGACTTTCCAGGCCGTCCAATTGTTCGTACTTACGGAAGACGCGTTATGAAACACACGTGGTCACCCGTGACAGCAGCCGCGGAGAATACCTTTGTCTTCGTTCTATCCGATAGAGCAAAGGGATTTTTCTCTTCCGCGTTAATCCGTTTAATCGAGTCCTCCCCCCTCCCTCTTCGATTCAGTTACAAAATTCGAGTTTCCAACGTTCGAAATCTTTTGTTAGCCTGATCCGTGTCGCGGCGGGTTCCAGGCGACAGCGATCGTTACGGGGAAGGATTGTCCTAGCGGTGTTTAGCTTTGCTTGCGGTACGAGGCATTAATTTTGTCGTCTAGTACCGTGACGTGTAAGCAACTAGTCTACACACGTGCGTTCCCCGATTTACGCACGGAAACCACCGTGACATCCATGGACACTTTAACGCCCGAAGTACGCGCCTACTTTCGTGATACTTAGGACCCGTTTCCCTTTCCAACAGTGGAAGGGAAAAAGCCGTTTCGTCGCCGCCGGACTCATGAATATTCTTCGGTAGATGGGATCAGCTTTCGAGAGAACTTTCTTTTTTCGAGTCGCAGAACGGCCGGCGCCACGCGGAAACGTGTTTTCTTCCAGAAAATGCGGGACTGGAATCTAAGGTCGTAGACCAAGGCTTAAATGCGCGATGGTTAAACCACCGGAAGGTGGAGGCCTCTTTGTAGCCGGCTGGTTTCTGGCACTGTATTGCGCCAGTGTCGGTGGCCAGCTGAGTGCCGAGTACGGATGTCCTACTCAGGAGAGGATCCTACCTTGCAGATGCTCTACTCGCGACATGGAGATCCAAATCTGGCAAGTGTCGCGTGACGATCGGATCGTGAAAACCTTCTCCCCGACCCTTAATCATTCGTCTTCTACCAATAGGTGCAGTCACAGCGAGTTACCCAAGGTCCTAGAGGGTCTAAAAGCAGTGAGCCATTACCTAGACCGACCAGTAGATGAGTTGATCCTAGAGAACAATAATCTGCCCAGCCTGCCTGGCAAGGTTTTCGCCACTTTGCGCGTCCTCCGTTTGATGCTGCGGAACAATCGTCTCGAGAGAGTGTCCTCGGGCTGGTTGGAGGGTCTCCATGACTCCTTGTTGGAGCTCTTTGTCGTGGAACCTGATTTAAGATCCTTGCCGATAGATAGTCTCGAGAATCTTCAAGGTCTAGAGGCAGTCACCTTGCAGAGCCGAGTGATGAAGAAGCTTCCGAAGTTTTCCGGCCTGCCGAAGCTCAGATATCTTCAGATTAACTCCCCGGCTTTGCTGGAGCTTGCTCCCAGAAACTTTCGAGACTTGCCCGGCTTGGAGCAGCTTCACGTGTTCGGTAGCTCGCGTCTGATACGTTTAGAGGCTGGCCTGTTTCGAGACCTGCCGCGACTAGAACTGGTGAACATCACCGATTGCGGGATCCATTGGGTGCATCCTCGAACACTGATCGATCTGCCGGAGCTGAAGGAACTTTCGCTGATTGGGAATTCGATAGTCGACGCCGGGATGATCGGTCGTGCCAGCGTTGACCTGCCGTCTTTGTCGGTGATACGGCTCGATCGTAACCGGATAAATCGTCTTGAAGACGGAGCCTTCACGGACCTGCCGGTCCTCTCTCGCCTCTACTTATCGAGGAATCACATTACTGAGGTGTTCGCCGGAGCGTTTCAAAGAATGCCTGCCTTGAAAACCGTGGATCTTAATCACAATCTAATACATCGTATACATCCTGAATTCTTCCCACGCCGGCCTGGAAACAGCTTGGAAGAGTTCTGGCTGATCGACAACGACCTCAGCCACGTGACGGAGCTGAGGTCGATCATGGAAGCGCTGCCCAGACTGAAGCTCCTCGACGTCAGTCACAATCAAATCGAAGAGATACCATTCGGAGCGCTGAGAGGTCATCCGACGTTAGAAAGACTTCACCTTGATCACAACAGAGTGGCCTTTCTGCAAAGGGAGACCTTCACCGCGATGCCCGCTCTCAGGGAACTACGTTTAAAAAACAATTCTCTGTCGAACCTCCTGGAGACGCCATTTTGGAACTTGCCCGCGCTCAAGGGGCTCGATCTATCTGAGAACTACTTCCGCCACATTGAACCTCGGTTGCTGGCTAATTTGCCCAGCTTGAGACGATTAGATATGAGCGGGAACGCGATTGGACTCATCGAGCCTGAATCCTTTTTGGAAACGCCAGCCCTGGAACACGTCAACATCTCCGGAAATGCTCTCTCTGTTCTTCATCCTCTAACTTTCCATCAGTTGAACAACCTTTACGAGCTGGACGTCGGTTGGAATCGAATGTTAGAGATTGTCCCGGGTCTACCGAGGAATATAGAACACCTTTACATGCCCATGAACCGTATCGTTGTCCTGCCCGCAATGTCTTCTCAGGATCTTGCCCTTCCGGTACTGAGGTCTTTGGACCTCAGTGCGAACGGAATCGAGAGGATCTCGCCCGGCACTCTGGCCGATTTACCTAATCTGAGGAAACTGAACATGGGTTACAATGCACTTAGAATTATAGAAGATGGAACGTTCGATGGTTTATCTAGATTAGAACAATTGGACCTGAAATATAATCGGTTGGTCACTTTGCATGGCAGAAGCTTTAGGCCTCTGAGATCGCTGATGGATTTAAGCTTGCGGGGAAACCGGTTGGAAGTCCTCAGACCGGACATCTTTCAAGAAAACATCCGACTGCAGAGGCTCGATTTTAGCAGGAACAATCTTGCGCAGATCCCTCACGCTACCTTCTCCAACACCAGGTAAAGTCGAAATGACAACGTTGTAGCCCTGTCTCAGGCCTACGCGAGTCACGTTCCACAAAATGGCGCTACAAAGAAGCGTTTTTCTACGCGTTAACGCGCCCGTAGAAAAGCGGTTTCACTCGTGGTCATTTGGTTGCGTCACCGGCAAATTGGCACCTAGAAAGTTCGTGCTCGTATTTAAGTGTCCCCTTCTAGCTCTGAAGCGTCACCATCCTGCCGTGTCGCTGATTTTCTCGTGCCTTAATGTTGCCTTCACACGCGAATTATTCGGTTGTTAATTAACGGGTAGCAGTCCTTTGTGAAGACGTATGGAAAATTAAGATATACGAAAGAATACAATAATGACGAGGAATTTAAACGAATCCGAAGGATCAAGTTTCGGCTGTCAATATTGGATACGTGGTTGTCGTTAATGCGAAACGAGTGGTCGAAACTAGTTTCTTTCTTGGTTCACGCGTCCCCCTGAAATTTTCTTCAAAATTCTGCGCGGTGAAGGTTGCGCTTAGAAAGGTGTCGGTGGTCTGATCTGCCCGCGACGGAAACAGCCGTCTCTATTAATGGTTCGACGTCAAAGGGAGGAAACGACGTTAATTACAGAGACCTTCGTGAACTGTACGCGTCGCACAACACTTTGACCGAGTTACCCGGATCGTTGCACGGTTTAACAGCACTTCAGGTTCTCGACTTGAGCTTCAACAAGCTGAACATCCTGTCGCCGGAAACGCTGAGCAGCCTGTCGGCCTTGCTCGAATTGAAGCTCGTCCGAAATCGCATCCGCGAGCTTCGCGAAGGCGCCTTCGACGGACTGCCGCGTTTGTCGCTGATCGATTTGGAGAACAACGATCTCAGGATCATCGAGAGGAACGCCATCCGAGGATTGCCAGAATTACAGGCGATAAGACTCGGGAAAAATCGGTTGCAGGTGACGCAAAGATGATGTTCTGATAGATTGTTCCAATCAATTTAGAAATAAGATGGTTCCGTTGATTGATCGAGTGCTCGTCCATCAGATAATCCCGAGCGGAGCTTTCACCGAGCTGCCGTTGTTGCAAAGTGCGGAACTTCAGGAGAATCGGATTCAGGAAATCGCGAGCAACGCGTTCATTAACGTGCCTCACCTTCTCTTCCTCAATCTGAGCTACAATCACTTGCCGGCGTTGGATTATGTCGGCTTGGAGAGTCTTCGATCTTTGGAGGTTCTGGACTTGAGCAACAATCGATTGTCCAGGGTATCCAGCAACAGTTTGGCGTCGATGGAGTGGTTGGTCGAGTTGAAAGTAAGTGGGGAAACAAAATTGAAAGCGGAAAAATCATGCGAACCTATTTGCCCGTGTTTCATTGTTCGGAACGATGATAGTATGAATTTTCGTAACGACTGCGTTTAGCGATCGCGAAGAACGAAAGAAAAATGATGGTGGGGATCGGTCTTTAGTAATAACGGCGAATACTTTCTCGTCGAGAGTGAAACTTCTCCACGAACCGTGGTGCGAGGCCACGTTCGTTATGCTAGCGGAGCAATTATTCGTACAGCTGAATCGTTAATTAGGAAGATAGGGGATCGTTTTACATACGTTTTCCACTTTGCCCGCAGATGGATAACAATCGTATTTGCGCCATCCAAGGCTCCCCTTTCGATGAAATGCCGAGACTTCGGGTGCTCAGCCTGAGGAGTAACCGGATGGCTTCCGTTTCGGAAGCGGCGTTCAAACGTTTAAGATCGAATATCGCTGTCCTGGATATTGATGGTAATTAACGAGTTAACTGAGTACTCTATACTTCGTTGCACAAAAACGATTTTATATACTTTCACTTACAAAAAGCATGAATAAAAGTGTTTTCATGCAGCTGATTAAGAGGATATCTAAATACTTCAAACTGATATTGTCCAATTTAATCTAATTTCTAAAAGGCAATCCACTTTCCTGCTCTTGCGGAATGTTATGGCTCCGAGGGTGGCTTCAGCAAGCTTCTTCCGAGGGTCCAAGGTGCGCCGATGGCTCGTTATTTAAGGAAATTAGATTATCTCGACAGGATTGCCAAAGGGAAAGACAAATAGATCCGATTCACCCCGGCTGCGAGGCTGAAATGATCGACTTGGCGCCGTACCCTGTATCTTCCTCGCGTGAGTGCAATTAACCGAGATTAACGTGTAACAATCATAAAGCTTTCATTAATGAAACATTCCTTACTTTGCCTCATTAGTATACGGAGCAACGGAAATGGTACCATTGCGGATGAACATCAAAGAATCATCAACCCGTCCCCCTTCGCAAGACTCTGATTATCTTTACGAGTATTCGGACTATCAAGAGCCTAGAAACGACACAACGAACGTAACAAGTCAATCGCAGATCACTGCACCAACAGATACCACGAAAATCATCGAGGCTGTAGAAAAAGTTCAAGTACAGTTGAATAATACCGTTCCTGTGAAGAAGAACACCTTGATGCCTCCATCCCCCAGCAGCTCCGGCTTCACCTTCTTCGGAGTGCCATTGCCTAGTCTAAACTTCAACCTTTGGGGAAACTCGGGCAGGAAGTCCGAGCGCAAGAATTCATCGCCGAGACCCGGAAGGGGCCGTTACAGAACGTTCCCGCCCACGGAACCGGAAATCCACCGAGGTGGCTTCGTGCCTTTGCCCCGTGGACAGGGCGGCTTCGTGCCCAGCGTGGACCCTCGACTTGCTTACCAAAAACACGTGAAAAACGAAACGTCGATGCAGCAGAATTCGAGTGCTCCGCAGGAGGAGAAAAGAAGATGGAAAAATGGGAACGGCACGGTAGTGAAGATCGAGAGGACTCAGCTTAGAACGAGCAGGCCCAAAGTTGGATTCAAGGAAAGAGAAGAACTGTCCACGATGCCAACGAACGAGGCCGATTTTAGGAGGCAACCGTCCGAGCAGAAGAGAAACAGGTGAATATTCTGTGTCAAAGATAGTCAAATCGAAAGGTAGAGTTAATAGAATTGTTGCGTACAGCTCCAGCCATGTGAACTCAACGAAAACGTCCGATTCGAGTGCCGCGGCGGACGAATCGCCCCAAGAAGCGAACGAAACTTCTGTGGCAGATGATACTCAAAATGGCGACCGCCAGGAGGTAAATCGGAAGTCCAATAGAGCCAGCGAGAAGCCTCAGACTGAAGTATCGAGTAAAATCGTGTGGACAACGCCGAGGACGATGATAGAGACGACGAAAGAAACCAAAGGGACGTCGACGGAAATGGCGACGGCAGAGAAGAATATTTTCTGGGAAACAGAAGCGGCAGTGTTCCAAGAAACGTCCACATCGACGACTGTTCGAAACGAACCGATGGGTAGAATCGCAAAGTTTTAGTTATAACAGTTTTATACAGCCTCGGGTGGGTGTTGATACGTTATTGTTAATTTCAGATGTCTCTGATGTAGCTACGACTGAGCGACCAGTCTCAACGTCACTGGAGAGCCGGAAGAACACCTCTTTTGCGTCTCAATTTCCCCGGGAAACGGAAGCTTCCGCTCTCTCAGCCTTTTTGGTCCCAGGTGGTCAAGTCCCGTCGTCTATGCCAGTACCCAACTTACGTCCCCTAGGTCGGCCGACTATAACGAAAGTCCCCTCGCCGCGTTTGGGACTGACTTCCGAGCCAGAGAAGCAAAAGTCCGTGGCTGAAGCTGTACAACGAAACGTGGAAACCGCGGAAGAGCAAATCTACGAGAAAGACGAATCCTCGAACGAGAATGCCGAAGTGATCGAGGATAGTTCTTTTAACTGGTATTTTCAGCATTATAACGATACCAATTTAGAGCCCTACGTGGGCACCGCGTACAGTGGAAGTGGAAAGATGTGTCGATGGACTTTACTGACTCCGATATGTCTCGTGTTGTATATTTTCATCTAATAACGCTACGAATGGAACGTTCTCAACGATCAGTCTATCGGCGTATCGATCGGAATTTCTATTTGGAAAGTACCTTTCTAGTTTCCTTTCTCTTTTTGTATAGAATGTGGTCGTTCAAAGGATAAAGTAAGGAGATAAGTCTATTAATGAAAAAACAGCGTGTATCTCAAATTATGTATCGTACAGGTACAAGCATGACGAAATGCTGTTTTACGGTACACAGTTTCAATGCCCCGCGCGTACGATTCGCGCGGTGCTCCGTATGATACAAAGTGAGCCGTTCATCATGGCCTTCGCAGAGTATTAACGAAGAATAAATAAAGTCATATGTACGAATGATCGATATTCTTTTTTTCGTTTCTTCCCTCTTTTTTTTGTCTCTTTTTATTAACAACGCAGTGTGTGTTACTTATGAAAGCTCAAGTTCTTTAGAAAAACATGTTTGCAATGGTGTTACACTGTCTATGGTGTGAGAATGTTATCTGGCGTCGTCAGATATGTGCATTACATAAAAGTTATGGGTAGTTTGAAGCAGTCGCTTATTCCTAACAGGGAGATAAGATGCTCGGCAAACATGTAATTTCGCGTAATTGCGGGCTGTTTACCAGATCGAAGTTGCGGGATCTGAATAACTGCGTTCCTACTATCATACCCTTTATCTAATGCAAGGTGAGATCCCTCGAAAGTTTACTATCCTGGAACACTTCAAGGGAGAATAATTCTTGTCTGTTTTCTTTTTGGTGTTAGCTCGAAATGTCGACCGTCTTAAAACACAGAATACATTTGTACATGTATAGACAAACTTCGCGAGTTTGGTGAACTTTCGTTTCGATCAACAGTCTCAATCGCGCGTATTAGTCCCGATTACGCTAGGCTCATTGGCTCTTGGTTTTAGCCTTCTCTTTCTCATCCTTCTTCTCCTCTTCTTTCTTCTCATCCTTTTTCGTCTCCTTCTTATCTGCTTCTTTCTTCTCGGCGTCACGATTGGTTAATTTATTATTGATCAAATTGTGAAGGGCCACTATGGATCTGACCAATGCGGCAAGATACACTACTAACATCTGATCGTTTGTTTTCACGTACAGTGAGTCAACAAATTTGCTCTGAGTCATATCAGGCAAAAGATTGAAAATGTCCTGAAGTTGGTAAACAATCTGATGATTTATTGGCAGTTTACCACTCCCAACTTGGAGCAAATAATCTCTAATCTCCCTAATTTGTTCGTGAAGACCCTTCAGACCTAATAATTGATTCGTAATTCTCTGGCTAAGGGTACCAACAGTGGTGTCCTTTATGTCTCTGAGCAAATGCTCTACACCTACCTCCTCAGCTTCCTCTGCACCAATTTCACTAGGTATGTGTTCAAAAGTTTTAGATGTTGGTGAACCATCCTGTAAAGAATGAAATATTGCAATACACCTAACATATATCTAACACTGTGCTTTATAAAATATATATTTACATCGTGAACTTCTTCAACAGCTTGATAAGCTTCAGTCGGTAAACCAAGATCTTTGGGTTTAGCATCAATAATAACCAGCACAGAGTTAGGACAATATCTCCTAATCAGTTCATTAATAGCAACATCATTCTGATGTAGTTTAGGCCCAGTGTGATACCAGCCCACTACCTTTTCACGGGCTAGAAAGTTACATAGTACAATTTCTGTTCCCTATTACCAAACGTTTCATTTTTCAGTACACTGAGAATATTTACCATTAACTTTTTTGAACATCCCATACATGTTTTCCAAATAATCATGGTCGAGGAACCATACGCTTTTGTCTTTGTCATCCTCATCAAAGGGTACTGTAGAGAAGACAACAAAGACGTTTTTTAATTTAACCCCACCATTTTCATATATTTTCAGTACTTATTTGTAACTACAAATTACGAAGGACTTATCGTAAAAGTATGAAGCAATAAAAGAATAAAATATAAGAAATATTAGCGTCATTATTGGAGTGATCCTAACCTGCAAAGCTGTTTGATACATCCAAGACACCTTTGGGCCTCCAACATCCAAGAAGTACACCAACAACCCTTTTCTGATTACCAATTTTTCCCATCCGATTATAATGATCCACTACACTGAGTAGTACCAAGGGATGTACCACTACTTTTGTTGTCACTACCTCTTGACTCGGCATTTTTGGGCTGCTACTTTACTTCCACACTGAATAAACTTCTCTGAATGATTCCTGGTTGTTACCAAGATAAAATCCCCAACCAATCATGAAAGGTACAGACTGTTTTAGATGTGATTCTAGTGACAATACTAATTCCGATCAATTTTCTTATAAATTTCTTTTTAATATGTCAGTAAAATTAAAAATAATAGTGTATAACTTACATAAAATATTAAATAAAAAATCTGCAGGATTGTTATTACTATTGATACAATTAATTTTTTTTCTGCTTGATAATAAGACACGTGGCGCTGTCTACAGTAAACCACGTAACTCCCTAGCCGCTAGATAGCAATCATTGTATTTTCTAAGAAGACAATTTAATTATTAAATCATCTATAAGAAATGCAAATTAATCATACGTTCTATTCTTTGAAGTCCCCTATACTGTTCTAACTAATCCCAGTTTCAAAATATCCATTTATTTCTTTAATAATTGTAAAAAAAATTCCGCAACCTTGGAATGGTCCATTGTTGGTCACACTGTAAAAGAAACACGTTGCAGCAAGTGCGTATTTTCCCCACTCACAAGGAAATAAGAGGTAATTTCTTCATTAAAAACTATGAATTTCTGAAATAATAGCAGTATTTATAAATAAGGATTTAAATGTGACAGTCTAGGATATATATTTAAATACAGTTTGATCAAATTTGTCCAAAAGAAAGCAATGGTACATATCATGAATTCCTCATAATCATTCCCGTTAACCGCAACAGGCGTACCAACCCTAACTACAGCCGCAAGGCGCGAAATTTAAAACTGTATTATGTATTTCGTTCTTCCATCCAATAAGACGCAGGATTTAATTAGCACAACAGAATCTAATTCCTGCGATGCTTTCAGCATTACACAGGATGTCGAAACCAATCGTGTTTGTAACCGGAAATGCAAAGAAACTGGAAGAGTTCGTGGCCATCCTCGGGAAGAAATTCCCTTTAGAGATCACTAGTAAAAAGATTGATCTTCCGGAATACCAGGGAGAAATGGACGACATTTGTCGCAATAAATGTCGTGCTGCAGCGGATTTAGTAAAAGGGCCAGTTATCATCGAAGACACCTGCTTATGTTTCAATGCAATGAAGGGCTTGCCGGGTCCCTACATTAAATGGTTCCTAGATAAATTAGGTCCAGAGGGTTTACATCGGATGCTTCACGGTTGGGAGGACAAAACAGCAGACGCGGTTTGCACTTTTGCCTACTGTGCCGGCGAACCGAAGGATCCTGTTTTACTGTTTCAAGGCCGAACACAAGGGACCATCGTGAGTCCTCGAGGACCACGGGACTTCGGTTGGGACGCTTGCTTCCAGCCTCTGGACAGGGACAAAACGTACGCGGAATTACCGAAAGAAGAGAAAAATCAGATCTCTCATCGCAGCAGAGCACTAGAGAAATTGAAGGACTATTTTCTGAAGGAAATTAAGCATTGATTAGACAGTTTGTTTTCAGACTGCGAGCAGTATTAATTTAATAATAATAATAATAAATATTCAGTTGTAAATAACAACAGTATATTCTTGATTATTTTTTCTTTCCCATCTGTAGACCCACCCTCTTCTCCTCCTGCGTAAAAGATTGATTACTTTTAGAAAAAGAGAACACTTTGACCCGATATTTTCACAATCATTCTACCCGGTGTACAAGAAAATATTACAATAAAATGACAGTTTCCTTGAGCGATTGATAATCACAGATTACCTCTGTTTATATTAACTCCATCAATGTTGGAGTTCTGGTGATAACGGACCAGAGGTTTGTCGGGAAATTTTCGAAATTATTTTCACACGGTAATAGCAAATACTTCCGGAGAATGAAATACTTCCCTGTTAGACTTCCGCTTGTAGGAGAGACAACAACTTTTAAAGGAAGAAAAGTATACGATTTCAGTAATTAAATTCCATAATTCCATAATGTAAACAAATTAAATTGTTGTTTCTGGAAATCAGTGTTAAACTAATCGGAAGCATTTGCGATACATTTATCAAAACGCTTGTATTACATTTTATACAGCTGCAATATCTCCACCAATGGGACGCGCGAATTTATGTTTACCATGTAGATTTACATTCCATTTATTTATATCTGCAGCGCTAAAGCAACATAATCGTTGCATATGTATACTCTTATTTTTATTATTTGTTGCACGAAATGGTAAACACGCTATCGTTTATTATTTGTCATTGCCAAGAGTATTATTCGATAACGTTATTTAAATCCGTCAATCGCATTTTGTATGCCCTTCGCGCATAGAATTGCAATTTCTGTCGATTGTTTCGTCATTAATTTATTGTTAGTTCCTCTAACACGTAGCGGTGAATTCTCATCTTATCACGCGTAGAAATTGTTTACGTCTTATCAACCTAATTCTTTGAATTATATAAATAATTACTAAATAGTGATTATTATTATAAGCAGGTGATTTTAAAAGTATGAGCGGAGCGGGAGATTTCAATGCCGAAAAGAAGTGAACAGGGAAAAGTAGGAAACCGGGGAAAATGTAAGCTTCATTATGCAGTCGGTTATCTATTGTTACGAAAACGATAACAAATTTAAGGCACATGTTTATTTGACAAAAGCGTAAACGGACACTTTCGGAGATACTCAAAACGAAAATAATGGACCACTGCAACGATACGCGGGCGGGTTATCTTCGCATTGATTACACCGGCACGGACAGTTTGTAGCACCCTTTCGCGAGGGGTTATCGTGTGCATTTGACTTTCTCCATATTGCGGAAATTCCCGGATTTTTGTCTTATAAAAGCAGAAAGTCGCGCTCCGTATTGTCAGTGTTTCTTCGAGTAGCCCGCTATGATGAACGCCCTAATAGGTAAGTGAGAGATGGAGGTCCTTAAATCTAGACTTGTAATTTATCCAGTGACAAATCAAAGATGAAAAACAGATGGCTAATTCTTTTGTACAGGAAACTATGAAATTTTAAACGTACTGAATATGTTTATCCTTTTACGTTTCAGCGTTGCTGGGGTTCCTGGCGGCAGTCCAGGCCGTACCATGTAAGTTAAACAAAATTAAGCAAAGAGTCGCAACATCGCATTATCAAGTTTAAAGTACAACAATGCTTTTCCTTTCAGGGTACGTCCCGGAGGGGCAGGATGTAAATTACAAATTCAAAGTCGACATGAAAGCTGGAGTCATGTCTCCAGCGAATTTCGCGTCGCACGTCGGCATGGATTGTACGATGCGTATCAGCAGGTACACATTACACCCGAGGATGAAGAACGCCTATTATGTGAAATTGTCAGATATTAGGCATCAATTGTTCAACGGGGAAGTGCTACACTCCGAAATTCCGAACGTTAATCCGTTACCTTTGGTGGACGTGGCCAAAGTATTGGAAAATCCTTTCGTGATTGTCTTCGACGAGAACGGACACGTGAGTAATAAAGTTAATCCAATTGAAATGTTCAGCATGGTTTCCCGTGTTAACAGAACAGAGTTTGAACTTCTCACTTTCAGTTGCACGGTATGAAATGGATTGCTTCCGAGACAATCTGGTCGAAGAACATGAAGAAGTCTATTGCTTCCATGATCCAACTAGACATGGACAACATCTTCCATAACAAACTCATTGTACCAGGCAGTTTCATCACGGAGGAGGTAGGTAACGACTGATGGGAACATCCTGAGGATGTTGGTTAATGTTCTCTTTGGTTGTTACCACTAGAAAACTATTCATGGTTCCTGTCATGTCGTCTACAACGTTCAATCGATAAAAGGCAACCGTGGGATAGTCACAAAGTTGCACGAACCGTCAAACTGTACCAACTTCCATTACCATGAATTTAATAACATCGAACACGACAGGTGTCAAGTCCATACAGAGGTATTAGATACTCGAACGCGGTTTCGTCAAGTAACTACTTGCAAAATTGACCTTAATTCACCAAAGGTTCGTTGCATTTTATACAGGAATCCATGACTACTGTTAGTAGGAAATTTATCGACTTCGAAGTCCAGGACAACTCGATTCTTATAAAGAAACTCAATGCCCTAGGAGTCATTGATTATTTCCCCTGGTTAGCTAACGCAGAGGCTCACTATCTCCTGACCAAGTAAGATTGAAATCGTCTAACTTCAGTCATACGATTTCGAATGATCACTTACGATTCGTCTATTTTTTCCAGCCAAACTTTAACCTTCACTGGATCTTCCCCGCAACCTAGCCAACCAGTCACAGATGTAGACATTCCAGTCGACACGGAAATCACATACACCAAACCGACCGAGAACTATTTGGTCACCGCTGATCTGGACGTTACCCATGGCCGGCATTCGGTGGATCTTAAAGGAGTCAAAGATAAACTGATGAAACTATTACAAGAAGCAGTCAACTATCTCAAAGAGACTCAGGTGGACAAGCATCCGGAATGGAAGAGCGGCCAGACGATCAACAGGATCCTGTACATGATGAGTTACATGAACTTAGAATCGATGAACGGAGTCTATCGTGTCTTCAAACATCCCAAAACCGAGAAAGATGAAATGACGAAGTATGTGAACCGATTCTTCTTGACTTCAGGAACATCGGCGACAATATCTCTTGCTTTCGATTCTTAGGAACATCTTCCTCACGATGGTACCGAACGTTGGAACCACTGCTGCATGGCTCTTCACCCGAAACGCGATTCGCGAGAACACTGTGCCCCATCTCACCGCTATCTCCATGCTGGCGAGACTCCCCATGAGTCTGAAACATCCCACGGAATCGCTGGTTACGGAGATGCTCGAATTCCTCCGCCATGACGAGAACATCAACGTCGACGTGAAAAAGGCTCGCATACTTTGCTTCGCTAGTCTGCTTCACAGAGTGTACCCTAGTGAAAGCACGTCGCCAGATTTGGAGAAACATCTGCAGAGCTTCGTAGAATCTGTTCATAGTACGTATCCCTATCCCCTTATCGTAACATATAATATTTAGCTCATTCTATTTCGAGAAATTTAAGCGTCTATTATTTAACGCGCCTCGTTACGCAGATAATCCCAACTTGGATATGAAACTGGTGTACTTGATGGCCCTGAAGAACACTCGCTCGATCAAGATTATCGATCTTCTGAAGCCAATAATTAACGGCGAACAGAAGATTTCCGACAGCTGGGAAGTCATCCGTACGGAAGCGATCTGGTCCGTCGAACACGTGCTCGTCAATCACCCTGAAACAGCCCACAAACTGCTCTGGCCGATCCTCAGCAATGTTACTCTTCCGACAACCCTTAGGATTACCGCTTACGACGTTCTGATGAAGGCGACACCCAGCGAACGTCTTTTCTTGGAGATGTACTGGTTCATGGTGTACGAAAAGAACCCGCACCTGTACAACTACCATGTTGATACGTTAAAAGGACTCGCCTCCTCAACCGACGCTTGCCTCCTGCCTTCTCGCGAAATGGCGAACAAGATCCTGGCTTTCACGAGAATAAGGTCGTTCCACGGGATTCCTTCAGCGAAGCTGCACGTAGATTCTACGCAGGATACTTTCGGGTACACCAACAGCCTGCAATTCAGCCAAATACGCAACGAAATGCACAACTCGGAGGTTCTCGTCACGGTCAATTCCATCACGACTGTCGGTCGCAAAATGTCTCACCGTTGGGGAGTGAGTCTCAATGTTTGTTTGGTTGTTTGTAAACGGAACTGCTGATCTATTCATTCCTTTTTATCTTCTTCGTAGGTTCGCTGCCACGTGGACGGAATGTTCAACGTGGTCACTGACATAATCAATGAAATTTTCGGTAAAAGGACACAAGTGGTGGTCAATCCGAACGCTAAGGAGTTGCTCAAGGGGGTGACGAGAACCGCGAAGCTCATGAAGAATAGCAATGTAAATCTGATGCTGACTTTGAACGAGAAAGTCTACATGGTGTTCCACTGCAACTGGGCGACCTGTTCCAAACAGTTGATGGATCTGATCAAACTGGAGGATCTCATGGACAAATCATTCCATTTCGAGCACGTTCACTATCACGACCAGTACGAGCTCCACATACCCACTGACCTCGGTGTACCGGCCATTTTGAGTACGCAGGTGCCAGTTCTCGATGCTGCGGACGTCGCGTGGGAGAAGGACACGTCGAAGGTCCACGTGACGGCGAAGTACCAGGAATGGCGGCACGGGGAATACTACATGGCCATCTACAACCCCTTGGACGATATTTGGCACGCCATTCGTAGAACAGGAACACGCGACATATTTTTGCCGATCAATCAGACCATCTCCCACGATTCATCGTGGGAGACTGTCACTGTATCATCGGCCAGATTGCCCTTGACAGAATACTCTATCGCCGGATTACGGACCCAAGCCAGGAACTACGTTACTATCTCGGGTGACGAAACTGGAGTGCTGAACAAGAGCTGTCCCAAATGCATGTCTATCCAAAAGGTCTTAGGCGTCGCGAACCACAGGAGAAGCGAGCAAAGTATCGACTCGAAAGACACCGGGCTTCATTATTACTCCGGAGTAACAGACTGCGATGGTTACGTTACTCCGACGCCTCTTAGATCGTGGATGAACGCATTTAAGATTGACCATGACGAAACCATGTAAGTATCGCGAATTCGACGAATAAGCTGGCGATGGTTGAACTACGAAACAGTTGCTAACAAGGTCTGTCTTCCACGAATAGAAGCTGGAGGACAATCCTGAGGATTTTCTTGAGGTTACAACAGGTAGTACAGAACGACATGATCTCTTCCCAGCGAGCCAGTTGTACGAATAGGTTGTTAATCAAACCCAGCGAAGTGCATCCTGCTAAACAGGTAAGTGGCTTTCGTGTATACGACGTTAACTGCAGGATATCATTTATCTTATTGCGATTTGTCATTAATGTTAGGTCGACTTCTCCATTAAACGGACTACCGAGTATCCGAAATGCGACAAAGTAGAAGTCTTCGTTCCGATGAAAATGAACATTGTCGCGAGCATGGACGTTAAGTCGATATCAAATGATCAGACAGCATGTAGGTGGAACGCAGATGTTAATTATGAATTGTCCGCTGGACACACGAGACAGAACTTTAAAACTGTACTCACTCGAATGATTCCAGGAGAAAAGAACTTGAAGGTACGGGGACCTTGATATCACTGGATTAAATGTGTGCGATTTTCTGCTATGAGATAAGCGTTAAATCGTTTCTCTTCTAGGTCTGCGTCACTGGTCAGCAGGATTACCCGGTCGTTGACAACGAGGATTTATTCAATGTCAGAAACGTGAACCCGGAAACTAAGACGAAAGTAACGCTTCAAATGGGAAAAACGATAGAAGATCAGTGCGTGCGCGATGAAATGGACGTCACGATCAATGCCAAAGCTGAACTGGCGGAAAATAAAGATGAGTACAAAGTATACGATCATTTACATGACATCTGTGAGGAGAATGCCAAGAATCCACTTTTACAAACCGACGAACACCACGTTCCTAAAACTTGGGCGTGCGTACGGAACGCTATTATTCGCACTACTTTGACAAAATACGGAATGGACATTGTTTCGAAGAAGGTATATGCTTGAAATTTTACACCCTAGTTTCCGTATTTCGTCCGTGTCATGCGATTTCATCGTACTTAATCTTTCTTGATCCTAGTTACCGTCGCGCATAGAAGCGAACTGGCATACAATTGAAGACTTCATCCGTGGCATTTCCTCTCACCACGTGGATTTCGATAAAGAAGTCAGTCCTGTCAATGTCACGAGAATCCACTTGAATCTCTTAGTTTCACCAGTTGTCAATCGCTATCACCATACCCATGAATTATGGCAATTGCCTTATGGTAACAGTATTTGGAACTCCCTCATGGACAACGTCCAGTTCTCCTGGAAAACTTTGAGAAACTACCTGAACGACAACCTCAGTGAGTTCCTGTTTACTTGGCAGCGGATCATCAATGAGAATCTGATTACTAATGTATTCTTATCAACAACTATTACAGAATTGTGCACGGTCCACCCTAAAGTGACGCTCACCTTCGATAATAAGACCGAGTTACACGAAGTTTCCCAAAATTGGGAACACGTTGCGACATCCTGGCATAGAATCGAATATGTTTATGTCATCTTGACCAGATCAGTATCCAAAAACAGAATAAGTCTTATGTTCGCGGTCGGTGAACATTTCATAAAAATTGAACCCATGGAAGACAAGGTGGTTGTTGAAGTTGACAACCACAGAATAGAGAAACCAGAGAATGGCGTCATGGTACCCGACGATCACACTTCCTTCGCTATTAAGTAAGTTTACACAGTAAATTTTCCTTTCCCTGTTAACGGATTAATATTTCGATGCCATAAAAATATCGTCTTTCGTACAGATTGGCTAGGAACTATAAGCATTGGATAATCCAATCGACTACAGTGCCAATTACCATCTTGTACACACCAAATAGTTTAACAGTAGCAATGACTGACATCAAAGGCCAAGTAAGTGGATTATGTGGAGAAATGGCTGCATCTTTAACACCCTCCATGTCAACTCTATTACAACAAATACCGATCAACGTTTAAAAATTCGAGACTCAACCTGCTACATCTTGTCATACAGTTTGAGGAGCACAATCATAAATGTTCAATAGCTTCATAATTTAAGGAAACCCTCCCCATTGCATACCTATGTAACAGAACGTTATAGACACTGTGAATGAAAGAATAAAGTTTTATTTTGGGTAATCTTCGGTCAATTATTTGCTACACCTATTGAACTTTATTAATCATTTTCTCATTTCGTGAACAAGCTGATGGTTTGATAAAACATGCTTCGGCTGAAGTATTAAAAGTTAGTGAATTCAATTTCTATGATAATCAATGGACTACTTAATTATTTATCATATAAATGATACTTTTTTTTATTTATTTTGTTTACTTCTAGTTATATTCGGTAAAATTTGCTAGCTACAGTACCTCGCCTCCGTGGCGCAATCGGCTAGCGCGTTCGGCTGTTAACCGAAAGGTTGGTGGTTCGAGCCCACCCGGGGGCGTTATTTTTTTTTATCATATTGAATTATTAAAAATTGTACTCGATATGATCAAACAGCATTCCAACCTGGGGAAAATATTCTGTATCTTTCTGGTTGTTCAATAAATCGAATTCTTATTGCTAATGGTGATCCATTTAAATTTGCCTCGTGAGAAGTGTCCGCTAAGAGGCGCTACTGTTCAGTTCCTCTTCAAGCCGGGCGCAGACTCCATTTTCCTTTCGTTAACGCATGTACTGCTACACGCGAGGTGAAAAGTGATAATTCCAACATTGAACTCAGAATTCGTTACGTAAGGATTAATTAAGTTAGTATAGAAATCACTTATTATTCTTTATTTTTATTAGTACATTGAATCTTTAAGTTGACAGAGATTTTGTCGTAATGGTGAATCCGATCGTGACCAGCACTCCTAGCCGGTTGTTTAGAAAATGATCAACTATTATAGTGGTTTCAATTGATCTTAATCGTATAGTTTAGCATTTAGTGTTTCATTCGTTTATTCAGGTAGAAGTTAAGTTTCTTCTTCGGCTGTCATACATGTAACTCGTACGGTAATCGTGAAGTTTAGGTTATGGTTGCTCGTCCATAGTTAAACAGTCGGTCTGTAGGATTGCATCAGTATAGGTTCAATAAGATTTTAACAGTGTTTTTTGACGCAATGTTCCAGATACTCTTAAAAAATGGCACAACTTCTGAATAGATTAGGACAGCTTGGCGTAGCCATGGCCCTGTCCGGAGTGGTTGTTAATTCAGCCCTTTACAATGGTCAGTCTTTCTCTATTTTTGGTAATATCCATTTGACAGGGTACAAGTCACATCTTAAAGAATTTGAACATTGTATATTTCAGTGGATGGTGGTCATAGGGCTGTTATATTCGATAGATTCACTGGTATAAAGAATCATGTTGTAGGGGAAGGAACACATTTCTACGTTCCCTGGGTACAGAAACCTATCATATTTGATATTCGATCTAGGCCAAGAAATGTTCCTGTTATAACTGGAAGCAAAGATCTGCAAAACGTAAATATTACACTTCGTATCCTCTTTAGACCAATAGCAGATTCCCTACCCAAGATCTATACTATTCTTGGTGTAGACTACGAGGATAGAGTGTTGCCATCTATTACCACTGAGGTATTGAAGGCAGTAGTTGCACAGTTTGACGCAGGAGAACTGATCACGCAAAGAGAACTCGTGTCTCAGAAAGTCAATGAGGACTTGACAGAGAGAGCTGCTCAGTTTGGAATAATCTTAGATGATATATCGCTCGTAAGTAATACTCTTAAGCAAAGTGGTTGTTCATACATTAATTTAGGATCTGGAATCAACTTAGGGACATTGTTTGTGTTTCAGACGCATTTAACTTTTGGAAAAGAGTTTACACAGGCTGTGGAATTGAAACAAGTAGCCCAGCAGGAAGCGGAGAAGGCTCGTTTCTTAGTAGAAAAGGCAGAACAACAGAAGAAGGCAGCAATCATCACAGCAGAGGGTGATGCACAGGCGGCTAGTTTACTTGCAAACTCCCTCGGCGAAGCCGGTGACGGTTTAGTCGAACTTAGAAGAATTGAAGCCGCGGAAGATATCGCCCATAATTTGTCTAGATCCCGTCAAGTCGCCTATCTGCCGCCAGGTCAAACTGTTTTGTTGAATTTGCCGCAGTAAAGAGATAAATTGGAATAAGAATTGTATGCTTAAATTGTGGCATTTATATCGTAACGAATGCATTTTGTCCTACATTGGTGTATGAGGAAATAGATGGTGGGAAATGATCTGTGAAAGTGTTGCATAGTAGGAATATACATAATTAATTCATAGTATTCGGATTCCAATTCAGGATTTGTATCATCCGTACGCAAATACGTTTCTTCACCTTGTACCTTATGCAAATCATTTTAAACAATTCTCCCAATTCCTTTGGACCTATAGTTTCGTACAGTTACGTAATAGTTACTTGATAAGCTGAGGGTTCATTCATCTATTGTCGTCATCCGATTGATTTCGTTTGTTTCGCGAAAAGAGGAGAGCATTTTCCTTGATGTTTCTCGATATTTCGGTGTTACAGTTTAGTATCTATTAAACTAGACGAGTTACTGATTTATTATGTTTCGGCTTTTTACCTCATCGCAAACATTCATTTGAATCAAGGAACAGTACAATGGTTGTTCGTTCCAGTTTTAAGTAGTCGGAGCTACGTTTTCACAGGGACCCTATAAACCTCCATTGCAACTTACGCATTTGTAATGATAGCATTGTACACGTTGATCTATCACCGATGCAATTCGCTTGTAAACGTCTCAGGTACTAAGCAGAGGGAAGCTAAGAAAAATAATATTATGGACGGAACCACAGATTCTAAAGAGTTGTTGCGTTGTCAAAGTTAACAACGCAGCACGTTCCTAATTTACATATAACGCTTGAGCTTAAATTGTCACGTTCGAGCAGGGAGAATCGAAACGTGTTTGTGGCGTAGTAATGTATACAAACACCTAGTGTGTAGTAACTACGAATGTAAACTATCCAATTTAAATCTTATTTTTTAAAGTGAAAAGCTCCCGTACATTTTATTTAGTTAGTTCACCTATAATATTAACCTAGGCTAACTTCCAAATTTTTTATCGTTATGCATCGTGAGAGAAAGAGAGTGAGTGAGTGAGAAAGAAGGAGGAAAGATGTTTCGGGGGTGTGTTGTTCCACCGCGTTGATCCGTTCGCACGAATCGGCCGATGGATCACGACGATCAATCAGCGACTCGAAATTGGTGAAAGATTATCTCGGTCGGGGTGCTACGGAGCCACGTTTGTCGGCGTTGCCAGTTAACAGAGAAAACAATTCATCATAATTTGGCGAGCACCGCGGGGTTCCTCCCGAAGGTGGTCCGCAACGAATATTGGAAACACGCGTTGCTAACTCGAGCCTCCATTTTGTAAATTTAACTGGCGGTCTTTTTATTTTTCGTTGGAAATTTTAATTAATTCCCTTTAATTACTCTATAGTCGTGTAATATTAAATTAATTGATCCCTGGCGATGAAAAATCTTCAACCTTCGATTAAAGTATTCAGATTTATAAAGATAGAATTAGGTCTTAGCGTTTAGTTCAGCGAGTATCATGTACTTAGAAAAATGGCACTAAATTTTCATTCAACCACGCTATTGCAAGAAAATTGTTTTCCGCATAAATTTCGGTAAACTGTAGACCAACCGAGAGAGTTCCCAGACTGTAGGTGCGGAAGGGTGAGTTCGAGGCGGTAGGAGCGCGAGGCAAAAGCAGATTAGCGTGAATAATGAAGACACGACCCCGTGAAAGCCTAAGCGGGTCTCCTTAAGTCTGCTCCTTCGAGTAGAAGCCGAAGCCGGAAAGGAAGGATGCTGGCTGGGAGGTGGAGCGGACAGAAAGGAGGTAGAAGCAGTTAATTACTCCTCCCATCCAGGGGATAACGACTTCCCCTTATTTGTCGAGAGGCGCAAACAGCCAACCCTCGGTGAAATCCCTTGGCAAGACGCTTTCTCGGATATATATCTCACCGTGTCTTAGATCTGTCCCGTAGTTTAAGCATGGCCACCATTGGATCGAAAATCGTCGGTCACTATCACGACGATTTATCTGCCACTGGCGAGCAACGTCGTTAGACTCAACTTCGAAGAACGCTGCGATAGATACTTCCATGAACCAACTTGCATCGAAAGGTTTCCAAAATAAATAGCCCGAGTACCCCCATAACATACCCTCAGTTCAATCATCTTCAGTTTCAGATTTCTTCGAAACAGGCTGTCCACATTCAAACTATCAATTATTCTTTCCGTTATGGAACTCTTAAATCTGCGTTCATACAATGACCAGTAATTAACCTATTCAAACAACAAAATACGGTGACGAAAGTCGCTGGAAATCCGTGAACAATGCGCGTCTGTCGCAGGGGGATGAAATTTTCGGTGCACGTGAAGTAACGAGGTCGCGTAGAAGCGAATAGCGTTTCCTGCCGGATTATTCCGGTAGCGCACAAGAGGAGAGGTAATGACGGCGGGGTGGAGAAGTTCAAGGTCATCGTCATTAACGTCACCATTCCCGAAGATGCGGAGGAGCATGAATGACAAAAGGGCGGCACATGTTCCCTGGGCCATGCATGCGTGCGACGAAATAAATAATAGGTACACGCCCGAATAACGTTTCCAAGGGAGAGAAAGAGAGAAAGAGGGGCAGGAGAGGCGTAGAGGTGGAAGGGTGTTCGGGGAGAGGGACTAATTACGAAAGAAATCATAATAGGCGCACATGCACCGCGGGCTGTCGAGCTAACGATCGCTTCCTCTGCATCTGCACCTGTTACTGTGATCCTACCGTTGCATCGGTGCACGCGAGCCGCATATGCCGATGGCCTTCCCCGGAGACAGGCCCGCCTCAAGCGGCGCGGCGGTCTCTTTTCATTCTAGCCGGTCGAATATCCCGTGGACGATGCACGTCATTCCGTAGCTTTAGATACCTGCAGATTATTGGCGATCAAGCTAACGATCATCGATCGTTGTTTCACAGCATTATCTCTAATTTTCGAAGAATCCCGCGAGGTGATCAACGAGACCGAGATTGCTCGAGGTATTCGCAGTTAATTACGCTTACACGCGTGCCGGTAGTAAATCGATCGGCTAACAAGTCGAGGCGAATTAGAATAAACAGCGGATTCGAGCGGAACACCGCTGATAATATCCTGCAAGTAAGTTTAAGCCGAAATCGAGCGACGAAATGAACGCAGAAGCGTAGGTTCGCTCGGACGTAATCGCCGCTTTGAAGTGGCCAGCTTAATAAGGACGATGATCGGATGAACGTAAACGTCGTTAATTAAGCCAGAAAACACGGGAGCGAAAACAGCGGACAAGACTCCGGGGCATGTAACAAAACTGACTGACCACCGTCCGAATCAGAGGCTGGAAAATTGGATGGGTCGTGACATTAAACGGGTCGTGGTTCGTACTTTCTTTTGTTCCATCTCGTTGATTGCTCATTCCGGCGGTCGTTCGCGCGTGGAATAAGCTTCGCCGGTAAGAAAATTAACCGATCGTCAGGTTATATTCTCGCGTTGTCCGGGCACAAATGCGGCCCCGCCTCCTGGCCGCTTTTCAGTCGAAAATTTCGACCGCGTGGAAATACGAGAATTCCTATTTTCTTATTTTCACCGGTGAATTCGTAGGTATCGCCTGCGGTCGGGTTTCTGAACGATCGACGGTCAGGGTGTGAAGATATTGCTCTTTAAAGCGTTCGAACTCATTAAGGCGAGCGCCGTTCGGTTAGCCTAATCGTGGTGGATCCGCGTCATTTTCACCCTTGCCTTTCACATTCTCGGCTAGTCGAGCACGCGAGCAGTAATTTTCAATAAGTGCACCCTACCATCCATTATTGTTGCCTATCGTGATCTAATTTGGCGCACGGATGCGTAGTCTTGCCGTCCTCTTCCACTGTTCTTGTTTGGTCAACCGCATTCTGCATAAACGTAGTTCCTTCGGAACTTCGGTTCCCTTCGTATAATACTAAATTCCGAGATCGCGATACTTACACGGATCATTGCGCAATGATTGCAAGCCCATTGAGAAAAATGATCCCCAGTGACCGGCGCTCGGTACACGATTCATGCCATTCACCTTTCGTCTGGTTCAGCACCGAACCCCCGGGGGAAGCTGCGTGGCAGATTGATTTACATCGAAGTCAGCCCCAGCCGGCCTGTAATCTCGCGGCCGTGCCGGTCCCGTACACACGCGACCACCGTTTCATCCCTTTCACGGCCCCCGGGGGTGTATTAGGGGCTCTCTCGATTGTGTCCTGCCGTGAGGCGACTAACTTACGCTCGATATCGCGTGGATTAGTCGAACGGCCGCAACCAACGATAGCGCTCTCGTGGTTTCGGGAATTAGTTCTGCGGCCGGGCCGGGCACCGCATCCTAAGCTTTCGCGATTTCTTTCACGTGTCTAACGTTCTAATCCCCGGCGAGCAGACGGTTCACCGCCACGAGTGCTTCTTTCATTTTACTTCCCCCAAAATAAACGAGAGGCAACGCGAACACGCTTCTCTAATTCCACACCTACGAATCCTAAGGGATCGTGTTTTTCGGTTGCTAAGCAGGGATCAAAAAATAGATGAAGAAATTCGATTCGACTCCGCGAACCGGCGGGCTACCAGTTTCAGTTACTAAACAGTGGAACCTCAATCTCGTCTATCCTACGAACGACTAGACGCACATCGGTCTCCGAGCAGCACGCAACAAAGGGCGAGGCCTTCGCAAGAAAGCGGGGCCGCGCTCCCGTTAGACGCGTTTCCTCCTCGACTGTCCTCTCCCAGGAAGCGCGCGGGTCATCGCGTGTAGACCCCCGCGAGACGATCGCGGATCTCCATTGTCAACGGCACACGAGAAGACGAGGGTTCACGGCTACGGGGTCACCCGCTGTCCCCCGGGGGTCACCGTTATCCGACGATCGTCGCTCGTACGCACCGCCCGTCGCGAAACTGGAACGAGCCATGATTTCCACGCGGCTCGCGGAACGCGTGATCCACGCTTTATTCCGGCCGCTCGTAATTCGACCAGATTCCGCCCGTACTTGGAAGCAATTTTGCGGTTCGCGGCGCGACCAGCAGAAACCCCCGGGAATTTCTTGTTCTCGCGTGGACGCCACTCTCCCTCCCTCCCTCTCCCGCGAGCGCCATTCTCCGAGGTGCACAAAGCTGCGGCGCAGGGGAATTTATCACTTCGCGAGAGTAATTTCCGTAACTTCGCGTGGCAATTACAGTGTATATTGAGGGACATTTTGTCAAGGAACTGACGTGTTCCGATACCTCGAAACCTTGCCCCTGATTCCTTTTGCTCTCCCTGTAAAAGACAGAATGTTTCTCGATATTCTTACGATATTTTCGCAAGGGAAGGGGTCTTAGGAATGATTTACGTTACATCGTTTATCACATAGGCACAGAATATCCGCAGAGTATCCCATCTAGTTCTCGGACACCGAACGCTGGTCGTCCAAGTGGCACCGTCGTAAAAACCGTGTCCCTTAGTTCCCACAGGAGCTTCTTTCGTGCTGATCGTGTACAGACATTAATTCGGTCAGGAAGGACCGAGGCGGTAAGGAGTGAGGAGCAGAATGGGATCAAGGGAAGAGGGACAGAAGGGAACTTGTAACATATGTGTAACGCAAGGGGCGTTCCGTGGCTGCGGTCCCGTCCATCTGTGGCAAAGAGTCCAGACGTAATTGCTACATCCTCTGATGCTGTTCTCGTACCTCTGTGCACGTTGTTCGATCCACGGGAACCGTCTTCGCGTGGCTGGTACGTCTATCCTTGCGGCGAAACGTAAATTAGTCTAATCCTAATTATAATAGGAATACAATGCTTCTTTAAATTGATCATCCTGTCTTCGATCAAACCTCCATCCTTTAAATCCAACAATACGAAACGTATTTCTAGAATTTTTCGAGTGCAATGGCGGTTCTAGTTCTCGTACGAAAGATTTTTCTTTCGTTCCAGGGTAACTCGGTTCTCCGCGCGAGTACGCATGCGAGTAAGATGCAAATACGCGTGTGCGTGTGCCCGCGATCACGGGCCCTTCCGTCACGCGACCTGCCGCGTCCGCCGGACCCCGTTTTCTTCTCCTTCTTCCTCCCCGCCTCTTCATCCGTCGACCGTCTCGCTCCTGCGGGCCAAGCTTTTTCGTGGATGGTCACCGGTTGCACGTGAGGACGGATTCCCGCGGGTGTACCGGGCCCTCGTGAAATTCCAGGAAACAACGCGCTGCC